AGTCAACTGAAGAAAAATGAAGTTGTGCCACTCCAGAGTGGACTTAGATTTCAGAACCACGGAGAGCAACCTCAGAGCTTTCCTCCTGAGATCACCATGTCTGAAATCCCACAGCCCATCATCACCCTGTGATGAGACGGGAAAGGATCATGGCAGCGATGAGTAGGGAATGACTCTTGAGCAAGCTTTGTAGCCTGTCCTATTTAACCATGAAGGCAGACATTAAGACGATATGGTGGAGAAGGCGAAATCAGCAGGTTGTATCGTTGAGAATGTGATTTGAATAACAGATGTTTTGACATTGATTGTTTTTGGGTACGAATGTCTAACCATGTGGTCCCACTCCTGTGAATAACTTGGAGAGGCAGGCTGACATTAGTTCCCCTTGATTTATTGCTCAAGATGAAATGATTGAAACACAGATGACGCAGTCTTAGCTATGATCGAGGAACATGTTGTCTCTAATGGCATGTGAAGTGTGTAATTTATTTTGCGGTATGAGACATTCCCCAGTACTATCTACTTCTGCAGATGGAGTTTATGAGCATGAGGATGTTGGTCCCGAGTGGTGATTAAAACACATCTGCTCAATCACATTTCAACAAAGTGGTAGGGACTTCACTTCAGACACGCCTTCTCTTTGCAGGGACATTAGCCTTGCTTGGAGTTTGTGTCACTTGGCCAAACTATGCACAAATATGAAGAGGGAGGCCATCAACCTAGAAATCCTAAGAATTGGAATCCTAAGACTTGTAATATGATGAGGAGTCCTATCATAACAATGTAAATTCTTCAAGGAAGGAGCTCAGAGCCACCTTCAGAATCTCAGCCACCCCCAGTGGCAAAGCAGATAATAGCAACAGCCCATAGACTTATATACCACTTCACAGTGCTTTTACAGCCCTCTCTAAGTGATTTACAAAGTCAGCCTCTTGCCTCCAACAATCTGAGTCCTCATTTTACCCACCTCGGAAGGATGGAAGGCTAAGTCAACCTTGAGACTTGGTGAGAATCGAACTGCCGAATTGCAGGCAGCCCAGAGTCAGGAGAAGTGGCCTGCAGTACTGCATTCGAACCATGGCGCCACCACCAAGTAAGGGCATTTAACAGAATAACAGAATTGGAAGGGACTTTGGAGATCTTCTAGTCCAACCCCCTGTTCAAGTAGGAGACTTTGTAACATTTCAGACAAATGGCTGTCCAGTCTCTTCTTGAAAACCACCAGTGATGGAGCCACCCACAGCTTCTGGAGTCAAGTCGTTTCTCTGGTTAATTGTTCTCCCTGCCAGGAAATTCCTCCTTCGTTGGATCAAACATAGACAAAAATGGAAGCACTTCAGCTGTAATCTGCCAACAGTGCCACCAGATTGTGCATCACAGTTTTGGGAAAGGACATTGTGGTAGAAGTAAACTTTACTAAAGCACATTTTTGTGCTTGGTGCTGCTGTGGTATTTTGCAGCTGCTCTCTGTGGGCATTGAAGGTAGGAATTGCACTGCAGCAGAGGTCACAAGCCATGGGCCAAGCTGTTGTGATAGGCCCTCTGTGCTCTAGAACAGGGGTGTCATTGAGGACCGCATCAGGGTTGTGTTTGACCTTGGGAGGGAGGGGGACGGGGTGTGGCCAGCTTGACATCACTTGTGTCGGTGGTGCCTGTGGCAGCCCAAGTACTCTGCCAGCGAAATGTGCGACCCTCCCAAGCTCCATTTTTGCTGGCAGAGGGTTGCAGGAGGCCGTCCCAGCCAAAAACGGAGATTGGGAGCTCCATTTTCGCTGGCAGAGGCACTGCGGGCTGGTCCTTCACTGTTTCTAGGGTGGCCCCACAGGCCAGATCTAAGCACCCCGCAAGCCAGGGGTGGCTTTGGGTTTGACACCACTGTTCTAGAATGTGGCAGGATAGAGTCCATTGTAGCCTCTTCTAGGCCACATCATGCAGCTAAAATCCAAGGCTTTGGGGTAGCAGGTCTTGCAGAATTCCTGTCTTGTAGAGAAGTTTGTAGATCTTGTAGAAAGTACAAACCAGTCTAATTCCGATGCACTTTCAGATGTGATGTGGGCAAAACTACAGGGAATTTGCAGGCGGTGCAAAATATTCAAAAAGCTTGGGCCAACTTCAAAGAGCTGGATAGAACTTCATACCTGGGTGAGATTCTTCTCCCGTTGGGTAACAGATTGGAGCCTGAAGAATGGATCCTTCATTCAGCCTCCATCCTTCTTTCCCAAGCTCTGCTAAGTCAAAGTTCAAGGCAGCTGCAAGCCATCATGGTGAGATTCCTGCTCTGTTCTTGGGTAGACCGTTTGATAAGGATCCATCTTCCATATCGGTCCTGGCTGTGGAATCTGGGCACTCAACGCTTGATATGCAGATAAAAGCTTCACTCCTCTCCTTCCTTCCAAAGCCATCTGGCACTCTTTGCCCCCGTACGCTTTCAACCTGTTTTCTTTCATTATGGAGATAATTGAAAACGAAGCTTTCTTCTGATTTTGGAATCGATTCGGGACGGGGGAGGATCTGACAAGTTTCAGAGGCTTTCAAGTCCGGGGTGGGGGAAGTGGGGGAGAGAAGGGGAGATGGTTTCCTCACTCCCCAAGGATCATTGTCGCTTGCATGCACTTGGATTTTACGGTGTGGTTTTGCAATGGGAAAAAAGGAGTCGGAGAGCATTCCGCTTACACAAACACAGGGGGAAAACAGATGATTTGTGCTGAATGTTTTGTAGCCTTGAAATTAGAAAAGTTGTGCATGTTTATATGGAGGGGTTTTTTTTTCTCCTAAATCTGAACAAAACTTTTTTTGCAAACTGATGTAAAAGAGAGGATTTGTGCCTGAAAAATTATAGTAAGAAAAAGAGGGGACAAGATCTTCCGTGTATAGATTTACTTGGGGTTAGGAATGGCAATTAGGATAGGAATATTTATTCATTCAACTTATATACAGTAGCTATAATATTGACCTGCTCCAGGCCTTGACTTTGCTCTGAAATCTCTTTTGGGCTAAGATAAGTCTGTAGAATCACGTTTTTCAACTTCAGTGAGAGCCATGAGCCAATTTGCCCATTTCCACAACATCCTCAGTTAGGTTTGCGGTCAACTTTAACTTGCTTTTTTTTTCATGGTTTAGGTTGTGTGGAGACCATCCTTTGCTTAGTGCTATGAATCAGCGTATTGAACAAAGGAAGAATAAGGGTAAACTCAATAGCCAGGTTAAGAGTGATCTGTGACAGCAGCCATGCTGGTGAAACCAAAGCTACTCTTGCGATAATGGTCTAAGTCAGAGTTGTCCTTCATGAAGTCTGATCTTCCAAGTTTGTTCATTTATGAATCAAATTTATCTAGCCGCCCTTCTTGGGAGAAGTTCCAGGCAGGAACAGTGGAGGCAGGCATGATGTGAGGTCCCCAAAGAGTGTTGATAGAGCCAGTGTGTCCAAATAATGCAGTTCTTTCTAAATAAAGACATAGCAGCTGGAACCCGAGTGATAGAGCTGTGAAAGGATTCTCTTTGCATTTTCAACTATTCCCGAGGCTGCTATATTAGCAACTCAGAAACTTAAGCAAATGTTGTTATTGCATTCCTCTGATTAGAAGCAATGTTCTAAATTAAACCAGGTTCTCTTGGGAAAGCAGAGCAATGCCTGTACCACACCGTGGCTCCCATCCGTTTTAAGTACTTGAAGTGGGCTCTCAGACAGCTTTTGATGGCTTACTTAAGGGAATGGAGCTAGTTGGAAAGGGTGGCTGGCATATCAAGTTGCAACTATTCATTTCCAATGCAAGGGGGGAGGGGAAACAGATGGTGTATTGGCGAGGACTGCAAGGGACTTCCTCCTCTCGTGTGTGGAAAAGTGAGCTCAGATATAGAGATGGATCTCCAGTGGCTCCTGGCCCATCTATCTTCTCTTCAGTGTAGGTCAGTGTTTCTCAACCTTGGCAACTTGAAGATATGTGGACTTCAACTTCCTGTTGCCAGTTAGGGAATTCTGGAAGTTGAAATCCGCACAGCGTAAAGTTGAGAAATACTGGTTGAGGGGATAGAATATCATCTCTTCTACCAAGGTTGAACAATACTTGTGTGGGTAGAGGACAACCTTGGATGATGGAAGGCAGAGAAAAGATCTCCTTTCCAGCTCTTTAACTGATGCCAGCATTTTCTTCCATGATGTAAATTTGTTGTCTTGCGTTGAATATCCAACCGGTGTCTCCAGATCCAGGGAGGAGGCAGAAGGTGATGGGAAAGAGTGCAATCTTTTCTATTCAGATGGACTGCCCAAGGGGTCATGGGGGTTAAGACACAGCTGCTTCTTTGGAAAGTGGTTACTGGAGGAAGCAAGTACTTCCTAAGCCCTTTGAAGGCCAAATGTTTCCTCTGCTGTAGAGTCAGCAAGCTGCTGTTCCTCCAGAGCATGGACTTCTCAGCTTGCAGGGTTTTGAACATGGTTGAAATGCTGCTTTTTATATGCATTATCTAGAATCATCTGTTCAATATTATGACTAGTTGAGAAATGGATGGTGTTGGGTTTACAAATCTATAGAACAGGGGTCTCTAACCTTGGCAACTTTAAGCCTGGTGGACTTCAACTCCCAGAATTCCCCAGCCAGCAAAACTGGGAGTTGAAGTCCTCCAGGCTTAAAATTGCCAAGGTTGGAGACCCCTGCTCTAGAACAATGTTCTGCAATCAGGTACCTTGTTGGACTCTTCAGATCAGATGATTCTTGTGATCCCTTCCAGATCTATAATTCTATGATTCTCTACCAGCATTAACGTACTTGCTGGAAGGCTGTTGGTATCCAAACCATGTGAAGGCCACTTATTGAGCCAGGTTACTCTAGATTAAGCTGGGAGATAGAACCCAACTGAATATTAACATGGTTTCAGGATCTTCTGTAGTGTCCAAAACACAATGAATATAGAAGCAGAGTAGATACCAAATCTCATTAGGTGAATATCTTATTTCTTAGCTCTTGATCATTGCAATATAAAATAATCCAGTTCTTCTTCCTCAGATAACGTTTTTCATGCTGCTGTCAGCAGTCTGCGTGATGCTGAATTTAGCTGGCTCCATTCTCTCCTGTCAAAATGCTCAACTAGTGAACTCTCTAGAAGGGTGTCAGTTGGTGAGTAATCCAAATCATCTCTCTCTTTTTTTTGCATACTGCTGATTTGTTTTGAAGTAAAACATGCTAAAACACATGCCGATTTTCCAGTGGGAATTCAAACTTGTTCACATTTCAGAGGTCAAAATGCGAGTCTCCAAATTCCTCTTTCCTCGCTCACTTTCAGAATTTAGAGGTTAATCTGGCTTCCTGGCTTCCTTCAGAAGGGTTGAGACATTAGCTCCCATCTGACCTTCAATTCTGGGCTTTGAAATCCCAGGATACCTGAAGAGTGTTATCTTGGAAACATTGTTCTATCAGAATGAGAACTCCTGGGAGGTTAGAAATTCAGTATGGAATATGAAAGATCTTGCCTTTAGACCAACCCTAGTCATGTCTTGGCTGGTGTGTTGAGAGACGTCAAGAAAGAGTGATAGGTCTGTTGATTGTGGATGACTCTTTGACCTTCTAAACTTGAATTCTAAGACATTGTTGAAACAACCACTAGTTGTGTGATCACCTTCTCTACCTCCTTTCCATTTTCCCTTTAATTCGTTGCCTTCCAAACATTTCTACATCTGCAGAATTCAAGTGTTGAAAGGAGGCTCTTATCTATCAATCTTTCTAGCCTCATCTGGTTTGTCTTTCTTCCCCCTCTTTCTCTGAAATTATTCCGTTCAGTCTCACTGCTCTTTATGGACCACCTTCAATTCTGATTTATCTGGAACTCAGCGGAGGAGGGGGGAGAGAGAGAAGGGCTGCCAAATTAATTTGCAAATGAGCTTCCGTTTACTTTACGATTGAGTTTAATCTTCAAATTATGATTTTCCCCTTTATTCTGTGAAGGATGGACATTCCGGGCAAGTTAATATCCTTCTGACAGTCTACCTTATTTATTCTTTTGAGACAAGGCATTAAAGGCTGTTCTCGGAGCAATTGACTTTCATTTCCCAAGATAACAGGGCAATACTAATGAAAGATACCTATGTCACTGACACATTTATATTACAGCCCGAGATTGCTCCCTTCTTCATGGTATGGAGGGAGGTGTTTCACAGACTGTGCTAGTTAACATGAGTGGTTTAATAATATCCTGCTTTTTCACATTGATTTGGCATTGGGTGGACTCCTTCCAAGCATCAATGTCCATTTTGGGATATGTAATTGGATGTCTCAATTTTATAGAGCATGTAGAACATAACAGAACCTCTATAATTTTTAGATGCGTTCCCCTCTTCTGATTTCTTTTGTTTCAGGGCCTTCTGAATTCACTTCCTTAGATAGCTGATTCTCAGGAAGATATTACATTTCTCCTTCCCAATGATTAAACTACTGTATATCTCAATTTTCTGATAAGTTTTCAATTTTCGGAGAAATTTCCTAGCAGATAAAACAATTAATCAGTGGAACGACTTCCCTTCAGAAGTTGTGGGTGCTCCAACATGGGTGGTTTTTTAGAAGAGATTGAACAGCCCTTTGTCTGAAATGGTATAGGGTTTTCTGCTTGAGCAGGGGGTTGGACTAGAAGACCTCCGGGGACCCCTCCAATTCTGTGATTCTGTTATTTTGACTTCTGCTGTCTGCAAACAGAGGCTTAAAATGGGGCAAAGTTTTCAGCTTTTCTCTGGGGTGTATCTCCAGGGATGTCCTTTCTTGACCCCACACCCGGTTTCCTCCTTGTGTGTGTGTGTGTGTTTTGTCTCTTTAACAACTACTCCCAGGGACCAAATGAGATCAGAAGCCCCAGTTCCCTTTGCATCAGTGCGTGGCTCCTTAAAATAGAAGCGCGGAAATAAACGGAGCCAATAAGACAAATCTCATTTTGTTGTTCATAAACGCTGGCAGGAGCTGCGGTCTCAATGCACAAAACAAATAAGCGTTCGTCCTTATTTGGCGTATTTCTGTCAGGTTTATTCATTTTTAGAGCTCATGGAAGGAAGAGGTTTCGTGTAACGGCTAAGTACCTCTAAAATAAGCCATGGTGGCCTTCCTCAAATACACAGCTGATTTTAAAGAATAAGAGCCAACCCGGATGATAAATTAGGCAATTCCCTAATCCTTTGAAGAGGAGGTGTTTGGGGCTGAAAACAGCACCTTCCCCCTAGCTTTGGTTGAGACCAGGGGTGAAATGCTCCCGGTTCGGCCAAATCGGTAGCAATGGCGGCGTGAAGCTCCGCCCATCCGCCTGGTCGTCATTACTTCCTGGTTTTAACTGTGCGTGCACTTCCGAACCGATTGGGAAGGTAGGTAGATTTCACCCCTGGTTGAGACCCTACTCAGAAGGATCCTTCGTTGTTATCTATTCCACTTGCAAAATATTGTATGCCTTCCCCATTACAAATGTAGAAATCATCATCTAACAGGTCGGCCACTAGATTAGAACCATGTTTGTTCTTATTGGTTTATTTATATGTAAGATTTATACATGGCCTAACTCTACGAGCTGCAAGAAGAGATACATCAGATAAAGCTGTCCTCCCCTAAGGGCAGGATTAGACCGTGAGAGGCAGGATAAAATCACACAATGAGACAAATCGCATTTGGGACTTTCAAGGGTGGAAGCGATGAGCTCAATTTCTTTTGTGGATTCATCACTTCCATTAAAACTCGCTTACTTATTTCTACAATTTTTGTGACGCTGGATTCCGATCTGAGCAATTTACCAGAATGCAAAGGAGAATGTTAAAAGTGGAAGAAACCCCAAATCCTAACTATGGTTAACTTCCAAGCCATGGTTACTTTGAGGGAAACCAACTGCAGAGGAAGGACCTTCATGTCATGACCGCTCAAATGATTTCGGGAACATCAACAGGGTTAATGTTGGCTTGACCTGATCTCGATCAAACCTGATGGCCTCTCCTCCCCTCTGTTCCTTCCTCAGATTAAATTTGACAGTGACAGTGTCTGTGTGTGCTGTGAGTTGCAACACCAGACTTCTGGCTGCAGCCTTGGGGAGATGTTGAAATTGAACCCACTGCAAGAGTGCAACACGGTCAGGTTGACCCTTAAGGTAAGTCCCCAAGCTTGTCTTCTGGGGAAGGAGCAAGTCTGGTGGTTGGGTTGTAACCTCCGGCTGCCAGGCGAGGGGTCAGCAACCTGTGGCTCTGGAGCCGCTTGTGGCTCTTTCATCCCTCTGCTGCGGCTCCCTGTTGCCGGTCGGCTTCACAATTGATAGGGCTTTCAGTTAGGACAGTAGAGGAAAAAGGATGCCGCACTAGGAGGAGGCTCTATGTGGGGGAACTGGACTTCCGGTCAGCTCCAGAATTGCACAGGGGGCTCCTGGTTAGGACCTTTGTGGCTCTTTGAGTATTTAAGGTTGCCAACCCATGGGCTAGGTCATCCCAGATGTTCAAGTCCAATCATCCTGAGCAATTGTGGTGTTGTAAGTCAAATCCCACAAACAAACCCATAATTCAGGTGTATCTTTACCCATCATTTCCACCCTGTCACATTCTTTGACAAGAAGGGCAGGCAGTCTTTGATTTACAACAGCTTGTTTGGGGTTCATTTGAAGTTACAACAGCACTGAAAAAAGTGACATAATAATAATAATAACTTTATTGTCATTGTATGTGTATACACAGTATACCCATACAACGAAATTCACTCAACACCCAAAGACCAGGCCCAACACACATAACAATCACCAAACACCCCCCTCCACCCACCACAAATTCCCCACTCCTAAACCACCCAAACGTCCACACAACAGACCAAGTAATGCTATCCAACAGCTCACCAATGGTTGCCCTTTAGTTCATTGATGAGTGCAATTATATCTCTGGGATAAAAACTATTCAGAAAACGTGTGGTCCGAGTTTTAATTGTTCTGCATCTTCTGCCAGAAGGCAACAGTCCAAAAAGATTGTAAGCAGGATGGGAAGAGTCTCTGAGAATGTTATGCAACTTCCTCAAACAGCGAGATGCAAAGATGTCATTCAGGGCTGGTAGCTGGAGCCCGATGATATTCTGGGCAATTTTAACGTCTCTCTGTAGAGCTTTTTTGTCCGCTACAGAGCTGCTCCCATACCATGCAAGAATGCCGTATGTTAGGACACTCTCACTGGTGCTGTGATAGTAGGACAGAAGTAGATGCTGAGATAGATGCTGAGATAGACATGACTATTTTTCACACTTGCAAACCATTGCAGCCTCCCCAGGGTCACGTGATAAAAATTCAGACACTTGGCAACTGACTCGTATTTATGACGGTTGCAGTGTCCCAGGGTCACATGATCCCGTTTTGTGACCTTCTGACAAAGCAACGTCAATGGGGAAGCCATGATTCACTTAACTGTGTTAAACACTGCCACGATTCTCTTAACAACGGTGGCAAGGAAGGTGTAAAGATGGAGCAAAATGCACTTAACAACTGTCTCGCTTAGAAACAGAAATGTTGAGCTCAATTGTGGCAATAATTCGAGGGCTTCCTGTCTAGAAAATCTGGACGCCTGGCTTCCGGGGCCTGGAATATTCTCTCCTTGTGAGAGCTCTCTTGTGTAGTTTATGTCTTCTATGACGCCCTTGTGCTGGTGGCATTTAGAAAGAATAGAGGGAATTGACAGCAGGTTTGCTTAGATGGCTGTCAAGCTGAAAGCTTCTCCTTTGGATGACAACCTTTCTCAGAGATGCTTTTCCACCGAGGGTTTTCAGCATCTGCTTCGGTTAATTAGAGATGCATTTTAGCTGGAAATCCTGCAGATAAAGGAGGCAACACCCTGTTAAATGACAAAATCTCATTTTCCCCGCCAGAATATTGCACTCGATTGGGCTCCTTTATCTCAGCATTCTTGGTTATAATCAACCCTTATAGAGAGACGTCATTATGGTACAATGACTGAAAAGAGTTTTCCCTCCAGTTCCAACAGGCATTTAAAAATACAATAAGCATATTTTCACTGCCTAAAAGCCATAAAGAAAAGCAGAAATAAAAGAAAGCTCTTCTGTTGGCTTTGTTAATTCCTAAGGGGTCTTTTCCTATTGTTAAATATTGGATAAACTCTGGAATTTATGCCCCCTTGCTTTAAAAGTTTTATTAAAAGCCTTCCCCAGAGGAACCACAAAAAGCATTGTGTCTAGATTATAGGAAGGACTGGTTTTCAAAATCTCCTGCGCGTTAAGCAAAATTAAAACTTAAATGCGAAACTGCCATTATTTTTCCCACTACAAAAGCTTGAAAAATTATTTCAGACTGAGATTGCTCCGAGGGAAAGAAGCCAGCTTGTGCCGCAGGAGAGGTCTTCTCAGGATTCTAGTCCTCACATATCTGACGAAGACCTCTTTAGGGAAGGTCGAATAAATTATCTCTTGTTAGAAGAGGCCAATGGAGGCCAACTGGAGAGCAAAAAAAATATAGAACAGAACAGAATTCTTTATTGGCCAAGTGTGATTGGACACCCAAGGAATTTGTCTTGGTGCATACGCTCTCAGTGTACATAAAAGAAAAGATACGTTCGTCAAGAATCATAAGGTACAACACTTAATGATAGTCATAGGGAAACAGTCAATATAAATCTTAAGGATACCAGAAACAAGGTTACAGTCATAGAGTCATAAGTGGGAGGAGATGGGTGATAGGAACGATGAGAAGATTAATAGTAATGCAGACTTAGTAACTAGTTTGACAGAGTTGAGGGAATTATTTGTTTAGCAGAGTGATGGCGTTCGGGAAAAAACTGTTCTTTTATGTTCACTGAGAGCATATGCACCAAGACAAATTCCTTGTGTGTCCAATCACACTTGGCCAATAAAAATATTCTATTCTATTCTATTCTATTCTATTCTATTCTATTCTATTCTATTCTATTCTATTCTATGTCCCCAATTCCATTCAGTCTCAAGAGTAGATCCCAGAAGTCCTCAACAACAGAGCTTCTTTTGTTGGAGAGGAATCTTTTTGGGAGATCAGGAGATCAATTTCGAGGCAGATTGTTTCAAAAGGTTGGTCTGGCTTGCTTATAAAAAAAAACAAGCATCGACATGCTAGCCAGTTAGATCACTCTCATTTGTAATCTAAAGCTAGGTCTTGAGTTTTGCAAGGAAAAAGAGAACAGGGAGAGCAATTTCATGGGTGAAAAGACTTTTACTGTTCATTATCCCCTTTCATCAGGTGATTGTAGGTATCTTAGCAAGGAAGCTCTGTCACCGAGGTCGATCAAGCAGAAAGGAAGCGACCTAGATCGCATCTCCCAAACCCACTTGCACTTTGGATGAGATGTTAATGAGGCTCTTCCTCATGGCGCTGTCAAGTTGACCAATCATCCAAAGGCCTTTTTATTGCTTCACACCCTAATTTTGCCCTTGGCAAGTTGCTGGAATGAACCCCTCAAAAGCTCATGGTGTGCAGAATTGACAGGCGTATTATTTTCTCGTTGGAAGCCAATCGGTTATGCATGGAAGCTGTGTGAGATGTTTCCCCAACTGCGTTCTTTGGGCCTGTTGCATCGAGAGACAGATGACATGCTTAGATTGACAGCTCCTGTGGATCTTAGTAATGGCTAGGAGAGTGTTAAGAGCCTGTTGGAATAAACTAAAGCCCATTTAGTCCTCATCCTGCTTTCCAAGATAGCTACTCAGATGGCTCCAGGAAGTCCACCAGTAAGACAGGTAACCATTCAACTTTTCCCATTATTGCTCCATAGCATCTGATGCCTTCGGATAGATCTCAACTTTCTCATGAGCCTGTAAATGGGATGAAGTAGTGGGGAATTCTGGGAGCTGAAGTCACATCATCGAGGTAGAGAAACACTGATCTAGAGTTACACTGGAGAAGCTGAGAATACCATATCTTGCAACTAATAACACTTAGACTTATATACCGCTTCACAGTGCTTTCCAGCCCTCTCTAAGCAGTTTACAGAGTCAGCCTATTGCCCCCAACAATCTGGGTCCTCATTTTACTGACCTCGGAAGGATGGAAGGCTGAGTCAACCTTGAGCCAGTCAGGATCGAACTCCAGACTGTGGGCAGAGTTAGCCTACAATTCTGCATTCTAACCACTGTGCCATCATAGCTCTAAAACTAAAAACACATTTTGGCTTTTCAACTTCTGATTATGCTGTGTTTTGGGTTTCTCCCCCAATACTGGAGTGGCATCAGCTACTTTAACTCTTTCTGGATCTGACCCCCTTAAAATACATTCATTGCCCCTGTCCTAAGCAGCAGCTCAACAACTGGCCTTCCAAACATCCCTGGCAGTGAATGTCTGAAGTTATTTCTCTCTCTTGCTTCCCTGAATGCCCTCCTCGACATGTTTAAAAGGAAGTTTCTTGTGTTGTGATATGAGGAGAGGTCTGCCATGGTGATGGTAGCAGTGAGCTGTGGCCCAGCTTGACATGACTTGCCCAGCTAGGATGTTTAGCAAATGGGCCATTTTAATTTCTCAACGATAAAGCAATTACGCCAAGCTTTCGCTCCAGAAAGCAAGGCTTCCAATTTTCTAAATTTACCTTTGATATAAATATCTTTTCTGAACATTTAAAGTGGCACGAATCCCCCACCCTCCACCCCGAAAATCATCGAGAGAGAAAAATGGTCACGAACGTAAGGAAGTTTGCAAATTACTGTAATTTTCCCAAGATGATAGAGGCTACTCCTTCCTTGGCATCTTAAAAGAGCTGCCTTTGAGAAGAAGTAAGAATAAAGAATCCGACTGCATGCCCAGCTTTTTATAGAGTGGCTGACACGCTGGGCGTGTACACGCATAAACAGAGCCAGATTTAACAGCCGTGCCACAGTCACACGCACAATATTAAGTTGTCATTTCTCTGCAGAGGAGTTGTTACGGGATGATTGGATTTGAATTAACTTTAGGCAGCGCTTCACGAAACACAGCCCTGCAGAAACGGAGACTCCTGTCTATTTAAATTTTCCAAGCTGCAAAATACATCTTTGCGATTCCACCCCCCTCCCCCAAATTATAACTTGCCCTCCTTGCAAACGTTTAACCTCTTCAAGCCACGAGCTAATTTTAGTTTTCCCTTTGTTGGGCTCTAGTCCTACACACAGCTCTGGATGGTGGGGGTTGGGGGTGGGGAAAGGACTGGCTTGAGTGGGGTGGGGTGGGGTGGGATGAGGTGCCGTAGTGTGGGGAGACTGCCAAGCTGCATTTCCTTAAGCACAGTAAAATCAGCAGTGGGATGAACAGGAGAACAGATGGGAGAAACAGCTGCTCTTTATTACATTTTGACAAATTTTGCTCTTGGCTTGTCATCGCTGGCTCTGCCTCCAGAACCTCCTTTGGTGAGTCTTCCCTTAAGCCCACCTGGTGGCATTTCCTATATCTTAATGTAACATAATCCTAGAACATAAGGCTGGTAACCGTCTTGAGGGCCAGGTGCCAAAAGAATTGAAAAGGCCTGCACAGTCACCATTTCAGGGCAACAAACAAGGACTGGTTTGATACAGGCTTCTTCTGGAAGCTTTCTTGACTCCCACGTCTGGCCTAGAACCCTGGAATTCCCTGGTGGCTTCTATCCATGTGCTAGTCAAATTTTCCCCTCATATAGCCTTTGAGCCCAAAGGAGATAGCCTAAGACTGGAAGCATTTTATGGTGTGGTCTATTGTGGATCCCAGTGTAAGGTTGTGTGTCTTTACAGAGGCCTTAGATGTATGAGTAGAAGCTATCAAGGATAGATAGTATTGACTGAGTCATCAAAGGAAGGTCTTTGTTGAGTTGAACATGACTTCTGGAATAGGATTCTGTCATTTTCTTGGCAACAATCTAGAAGTAATTGTAAGTAATTTGTAATTACCTCCTTCCTGGAGATTATTTCCAGTCTAGTTTACAGCCCTAGAAGTCTCCCCTCCAAGTGGCAACCAAGCAAATGTCTTCTTAGCTTCCCAGGTCAAGGTAGAGCTCACGATTTCTCACCTCCTTCAGATCTTGGGGTTGATTCTCCTGAATCTTGAATCATTATGGGGAACTGTCTATGGTGCTGAAGCCTTAATCTCTCTCTCTCTCTCTCTTGGATACTCCTAAGAAGACTCACTAAATTCTGTAGTGAAGCTTCAGAAAAGTGTCTATAAAAGAGAAAAGGCACAAATAATTGTTGGATTCTGATTAAATGGCTAGTCAAAACCATGATCTCTTTCCTGCTTCTATGGTAACAGGAGTTTAAAAAGAGGAGATGTCATCAACATTGCTTTGGCCCTTGAGTAGGTACAGAAAGAGCGTGTCCAAGCATCTGCTGAGCAATTTTCTTCACAGCTGGATAGCTTGGGTCTGCACCAATGCACATCTGGGGGTTCTGAGCCTGGATCTAGAATAAGTAAACTAGCTTCTTGTTTTTATCCATGTATTGTGATGATTAACATCTCTGGGCCATATGTTGATTTAATTCCACTTTAGGAAAACTATTAGCTGCCCAGAGTCACTTTTCAGAACGAGATGGGTGGCATATGTCTTTAACAAATAAATATTTAGAAAAGTTGCAACCCCTCCAAGCAATGCAAAGAGCCACCAACTCCAATTTAATTTTCATCCTTGAGCTTTTATTTCCCGAAGCATCAGCTAAGTGGTTTGATTCCTTCCCCCCTCCCCCCCCACCATTTTAGCCAGCTCTTCTGATTTATGAATTTCTTCCAAGTTGCCCTAATGAGGAGGCCAAATCAAGAGCCCCCGGGCCAAGGGGAGCGATCCTTCACTCTGGCCATCAGCAGGCTTTGGTGGCCTGGGTCACACCAGAGAAGGCAATAAGCAAGAAGAAAATTTCACTTAGATCTCACTGGGCTTTAGAACAAATCCATCATCTCGGACGTGACCAGCATAGAAAAGAGGAACTTCATCTAAGATGTTGTTAAGGGTCAGAGCTGCTGTTAAGGGCAGTAACATGTTGCCTGCAGCCCCCGGGCTCTTTATTTGCCAGAAAGGAGCCAGGCTGATCCAGCACCATCCAGCGTTTTTGTTCCTACCTTGGGCAACCAGAGCTCTCTAAAGATAATGACTTTTTCCTGCTCTTGTCCCCCTACAGCAGAATAACAGAATAATAGAGTTGCAAAGGGCCTTGGAGGTCTTCTAGTCCAACCCCCTGCTCAAGCAGGAGATCTTATACCATGGCAGGCAAATGTCCCGTCTCTTCTTAAAAGCCTCTGGGGATGGAGCACCCAAAACTTCTGAAGGCAAGACGTTCCACTGATGAATTGTTCTCACCGTTAGGAAATTTCTCCTTGTTTCTGGGTTGCTCCTCTTCTTGATTAGTTTCCATCCATTGCTTCTTGTTCTGCTTTAACCTTCTTCCAACCTGGAGCTCTTGACAGATGTAGCCTTCCTGGCTTTCTCTAATTATCATTTGTTGGCATCTAAGCAAATGATTCACACCACCAATCTAGTAATAGAAGAGGATCCATCTCTTTCCTTCTTTCTTTCCTTTCTTCCTTCCTTCCTTCCTTCCTTTCTCCCTCCTTCCTTCCTTCCTTCCTCCCTCCTTCCCTCCCTCCCTCCTTCTCACTCTCTCTTTCTCTCCCTTTCTGTTTTTCCTCTTTCTCTCTTCATTACCTCCTTCTCTCTTCCCCACCAGTCTGATCTGGAGTCTCAATTGATATGTCAGGAAAGAAAGCCTGAGTTCCTTTTCTGCATTTGAGAAGCCTTAATACATTTTTGGCTGCCAATGCTTTGCCTGGTCTTGCAGCTTCCATTATGGTCTTCTGTCTGGGTTCAGACAGACAATGTCTTATAAAAGAAGGCTTAACGAAGGAAGAAGAGCTTCCTTCATTGGGGAAGAGACAGGAGGGTGAATTCATTATTCGTAGGCTCAAGAAAAAGGAGGAGATCTTATTAAGGGTGGCTTTAATTTTCTGGACGCTTCTCTTCCCTGCCTTGTGCCATTTAACCCTACTGAGAGTGGTGGTGAATTAGGCACAGAAGCCATTAGATATAATGTGGTTAATTCCCTTCTCTGGCCAGGCATGTCATAGATCAAATATTTTCCTCTGCATCCTGAAGAACATTTATGAGAGCGTCTTTCGTAATTATGCTTCCAGAGGTATATGACCCCAAATTAATATGGGCAGTCGTATTCCAGCTAAACCCTGCATGCAGCAGATGGGAGAAAACGGGGCAGGAATTGACCTGGCCAGACCTTCTTCGCTCATGAGAGAGGCATAATAATCAGGCCATTGAATGGAACAGCTACTTGTTTGCAACGGTCTCGCTTAGCCACAGAAACTTTGGGCTCAACTGTGGTCGTAAGTCGAGGACGACCCTCCAAGATGTTCACGTCGGTTTGTCTCTAGATGCTTTTCGCATTGAGCCAGCAGCCGGACACTTCAGGGTAAGCCCTGTGCAAACTTCAGGCCCTGCAAAGAACAGCGAGTGTCAGAGGTATAAATTCTGCTTTGCCGTGAAGGTCAGAGTCCCTGCCATAACCGTGCTGATAGAGCAAAGACTCGAGATAACCAAAATTGATTCCTCATCCTCTCGCTATCAAGCGTGCTCTTCGACGCTGTTCAATTTACCGCATACAGGATGATAAGGACCCAGGAATGCAATTCTGCTCACTCGGAACCAGCTGATTCTTTGCCTGCTTCCCGCCTTTGCTAAGCTGGGTGAGCTGGTTCACGGACATCAGGGGGATTCACGATGGATGCGTCCCCTGCCGTTCGATTAATTAGACAGTTACAAGGTGGAGTTAGTTTATCTATTTTTCATATTGTATTATTAGGCCTTGAGGTGAGATAAATAGCCCTGATTTGCTCTTTCCAATATGATGCTTAAGAGATGGGTGTATCTTCAGCTAAATTCCCTCTTGATTCAGGGTTGCTGTTTCTGGCTGGCCTACAACACAATTTCTGATTTTCTGTAATCAGGATTGAACCTGTGACCCTCCTGCTCCGGAAGCAGGATCTCTGGACTCCAGAACTGTGTCATGCACCATAAGCTGACCTCTACTATAATGTGGCATTTATTATGCACCTGACTGTCACTTACACCGTGTTCCCTCCTTTGGCTACCTTCAGCCTGGTTGCAGAAGATCTCATCTTTGCTTCTGGATTCCGGGGGAAAAAAACCAACAACCAAAACTCACCATTGGCTAAGCAAAAATATGGCGCTGCTGTGTTCTCTTCCTAGGTAGATTCTCGGTTGGTTTCTCCACCCAGAAAAGGTCCCTTGCAGGTGTGATTAGAGAGGCTGTAATGAAGAGCTGTATTAAGCTGATAACCATTTCTGGCATTTATTATCCACTCTGCCAACAGTGTTTTTAGCACTCATTCTCTGTCTTGTTGAGATAAGGAAGAACAGCCAACCTCCCTGTGTGTGACATTCTCCCTCCCTCCATCTCTCTCTCTCTCTCTTTGTGTGTGTGTCTTTCTCTGCGCAGGACCTGCTGTTTAGTGTTTGCGCTCTCAATATCATCTCCACCATTGTGTGTGCATTGGCAACGGCGATGTGCTGCATGCAGATGGTCTCCTCCGATGTTCTGCAAATGGTGAGTGAGATACACAGATCCTCTGGCCAGAGGTGGGTTTCAGCAGGTTCTGACCAGTTCTGGAGAACCGGTAGTAAAAATTCTGACTGGCCCCGCCCCCATCTATTCTCTGCCAAGTCCTAGCTGATCGGGAGGAAATGGGGATTTTGCAATAATCTTTGCCTGGAGTGGGGAGGGAATGGAGATTTTAACAGTATCCTTCCCCTGCCACGCCCAACAAGCCACACCCACAGAACCGATAGTAAAACATTTTGAAACCCACCACTGCCTCTGGCCAAGCCACAAGGGGAGGGTACAAGCAAGGCAGGTCAAAGATAGGATTGGAAGGGGATTTCACCTTGGGATTGAAGAAGGTCATTGTTTCATTTCTTTCCCAACCACCATAAAGAATGTTTAGGTGGGTCTGTGAGGACCCAAATTCAAGCCCACCATCAGCCATGGACCAGCTGCCGGTTCATTCTTTCTCTCTCTGTCTCCACCCAAACGGGCCCACAAGGTTGTTATGAAGAATCTGGAGAAGGTTAAAGTACCTATTGCTGCTTTGATTTCCCAGAAAATTTTTGATATGAACCTATCAAAGAAATGCTAAGAACTTGATGACCTCCAGATGCCCAGGTCACCTTATCCTCAACCACAATGATCTTTTGAGTCAACCAATTGCCCCAAAACATTACATTAAAACAAGCTTTGGGGAGAAAATGAATATATTTAGTGGGCATTTAGTGTCTCGGCTTTGTTCCTCAAAGTTTTAGGACAGAATTTCAGATATCGGGACAGTAGAGTTCCAATGATGGTCTCTTTTTTTTCCATTGTACTTCATGTCATTCATCTCCAGACCTTCCTTCACATGGAAAATAGAAGCCGTGTTGTTACCCCCAGCAATTCTATTTTGTAAGTTCTTATATGGTTGCAGCCATCAAATCAGTTTCTCTGCTTCCTGACAGCAGGTTCCACAATTGAACCCAATTCTCTCCTTTTTTTGAGGAGACTGAATGAATTCCGTAAACGACGGGCAACATTTCTGATTTTCTGGAATTGCTGTTTAAACAATCTTCTAAATTGGAGACTTGAACGGAGCTGAAGTCTTGACTAAGCTTGCCTCAAATTCGCCCTAGCATCGAGGGAAGATTAGTTTACACTTATTTTTCAGACCTCTAGGAAAGAAATATTACTTCTCATTTTATTTTGACTGCAGCTGAATTCCAATTCCCTGCCTGGAAAGGACATTAACAGCCTTGCTTGGTGAAAATGAAACAAGGGGCCACTTTTAAGGTGGCACGTGGCCAGTCCATGGTGTTCTCTTCGAGACGATTCCATTTATTGTGAAAATTTATGGACCACACTTTATCCACAAGGGTGCTCTACATTGCATTTAAGAAGAGGGCAAACATGGTATAACTCTGATATTGGAAAAGAAGAAAGCAAAACAGCTGCTCAGCCCCTAAACAACCACTCAGCTAATTTTCTAAAATGTCGTTTGAATTCCCTGAGCCCAAAGATATTAGCTGATGAATCCCCAAACAGAAAGCCGTTGGAACTCCAAAGCCCAGGTGCCACCACCAAGAAGGCCCTGCATTTTCTCAAAGCATCGCATAATTACCCCACCAGGAAAGAGCCTCAACTAAAGCTTTATTCTGCAGATAGAGCAACATTTTAGATGTCATCCCTTCCGCTGATTCAGCCCTAAAATGCTTGAGGTTTTAAAACTAAAAGCTTGAATTAGTCTTCTCAGCAGTTAAAGGATTGTTTTCATCAGGTATAACGTTAAGGAAAAGGGCAGGCATCCAAAAAAATGAAAAATTGTGTAAAACATTCAGGTGCCTACAACACACCCCCTCGGCAGTGGTGGGTTTCAAAAAATTTTATTACCGGTTCTGTGGCGTGGCTTGGTGGGCGTGGTAGGGGAAGGTTACTGCAAAATCCCCATTTCCTCCCAATCAGCTGGGACTTGGGAGGCAGAAAATAGATGGGGGCGGAGCCAGTTAGCATTTTTACTACCGGTTCTCCAAACTACTCAAAATTTCCGCTACCAGTTCGCCAGAACTGGTCAGAATTTGCTGAACCCCACCTCTTCCCTTCAGTACCATTATTTGGCCAATATATGATTATAATTGTTGCTCTGAGCACCTGCTCTTTCAACCTCTGCTTGAAAAATATGTAGATTTGCTGGCTATGATAATAATGTTCCATCTCTCTCGTTTATGCCACCCAGTTCTTGCCGCAGAGGTCTCATTCTGCAAATCCAGACTGCATGACCCCTCATGGGACTATCCTGCACCAGACGTTGGACTTTGACGAGTTTATTCCTCCCATCCCACCGCCACCTTATTACCCACCGGAATATACCTGCACGCCAGCCGCAGAGGCACAAAGGTGACCCGTCTTTCACTGCCCTATGCAACACTCCCAGGGGAGATGAACCCTGAACTTCAGCTGAAATCTCCCCGTCGCTTGCCTTGCAGGGGCCAGCAGGTTCCTTCTCAGTTCTATTTCCCAGATCCTAGTTGGGTTTCTACATAACGTTGAGAAGTTTGCTTAGCTTTTGGCTTCATACTTTGCTTTGGAAAATGATGAAGTAGTTCTTGAGATGCTTTTGAATAACCCGCTGAGCCAAAAGCAAACCCAGGTTAAAGCTTAACGTTAGTGGATCCAGTGGGTAGACTTCCATGAGTTACAACTTATGGGTGTCTAATAGCTCAAATATTGATATTTTCATTCATTTGGTCTTGTTGTTAATTGGGAAGGCTGTCATTGTAATTATCTGTTATCTATCTATCATGTCTGTCTGTCTTCTGTCTGTCCGTCTGTCTTCTGTCTGCCTATCTAGTCTGTCTGTCTGTCTATGTATGTATGTATGTATCTATCTATCTATCTATATCTTTTCTTTCTATCCATCCGCCCACCCGTCTGTCCATCCATTCGTCTTCTGTGTCTGTCTGTCTGTCTATCTATCTATCTACAATATCTGTCTGTCTGTCTGTCTGTCTATCTATCTACTGTATCTATCTCTATCTATCTATCTATCTATCTATCTATCTATCTATCTATCTATCTATCATGTCTGTCTGTCCATCCGTCTATCTGTCTTTCTATCTATCATTTCTTCATTTTATGCATGATGCATCAAACATCCCTTGAGAAGAAAAATGTCTTCCTGTCCAATAAAAGCCTTCCTGTTGAATTCTGACACAGACACGCCTAAACCCACTGGAATTAGCAAGATAATTAGTCAAGTTTGGCTCCTGAACTCCATAGCTCTTCTTTAAGGATCAGTAACTCTGACGCCAATCAATAAATATCTCTATATATATTTAATTGGCCGCCTGGTTAATTAAGACACCTGATGAATTGGAGAAGTTCTTTTCATCGATCCAACTGCTTGAGCATTTAAAACCCTGAAGCATTGTGTGTGGTGGCTCTATTAACAGCTCTTTATCAGGAGGGTTTGCTCAGGGACCAAGATGAGGAACATCAAGACGGTGGCCATCTTCCTGTCATTAGAAGCTCAGCCCATTTTTGAATGTGCTGCACACGGAACATGTAAAATAGGGTGGAGGTTCAGTTGCACGGACAGGGCCGTTGTCTTCACAATTTTGAAACCCCCCCCCCCATTTGTGCTTTAGGGCTTTTCACTTGGACTTTCCACACTCTTCCTTCAGCGCCTTATACGAGGTGACCATCAACAGCCCTGGCATTCTCTACCCAGCCGAGCTGCCTCCCCCTTACGAGGTGGTCGTCGGACAAGCTCCAACTAACCAGGTTAGAGGGCGTTGCTGGGAATGGACCACGCGCACAGACCAACTTCAGAAAGGTCTTAGTAAAACCATGGGATCTCTAGTCCTTCCTCTGAATGGAGATGGATCTGGTTTTCAATCTTCTGAGATGCGTTTAGACTTGATAGTTGAGAAGCAGAACAAGTCTTGCGATGCGCATCCTTTTTTCCCCTCAGAGATTGCCAGAGCCCAAACATGTGGGCGAAACTTCAATTTAAGAGAACATTAAGAAGAAAGAAGGCGCTTCAGTCCTGTGCACTTGGATATTTCTTGAGATAGATTTGATTTTCAGCCCGTTGCCTCTTATGTATTCTTTCCAAATTGCACAATGTGAGTTTTTAACCGGCAAATCTCACCTCTCCTGGATTCCAAGTTCTGCTTGGGCACCCTGGTGCATAATTGCATTTATGAAGTTTGTGAATGCCCCTCTCTTCCTTGGGGGCAGAACATAAAGAGCCCTGTTGAATTGGCAAGTTTTGTTACAATCAGGAAGGGAAAGGTCACCCCGGGATGGCAATCTCATCGGCCGGCCTCCCTCTTCGTTTTATTGGATTAGGTTTTTTATAACTCCATTTTCCATATTTCAAGCAGACGCATCTTAAGGGCAGGAGGAATTGGCTGCTTAGGAGATTTTTCTAACTCTAAATAAATTAGTTAAAGAGGTGCCATCTTATCTTCTCTTATCTCCAGTTGGGGTTTTGGGGTTTCTTTCCCATGCTTTCCTCTTTCCTTGTCATTTGACTTCTCTTAATGGTTCTTCTGCTCCAAATTTATCTCTAGATCCCTTTCCAGATATGTCTGTGGAGATTCTCAATCACCCAAATCATGGTTGTCCCAAAGGTGCTTCCCCTCCCCCAGGGGTGAAATCCAGCAGGTTCTGACAGGTTCTGGAGAACTGGTAGCAGAAATTTTGAGTAGTTCGGAGAACAGGCAAATACCACCTCTGGCTGGCTCCAGAGTGGGGTGGGAATGGAGATTTTGCAATATCCTTCCCCTGCCATGCCCACCAAGCCACGCCCACAGAACTGGTAAGGAAAAATTTTGGATTTCACCCCTGCCCTCCCCCCACAAAAGGCAACAGGAATGTCTTGGTTTTTTCTTTAAAAACGTTTTGCTTCTCATCCAAGAAGCTTCTTCCATTCCTGAAGAAGAAGGAGAAGGAGAACTGAAGAAGCTTCTTGGATGAGAAGCAAGATGTTTTCAAAGAGAGAACCAAGGAAGTCCAGTTGCCTTTTGGAACAAGCACCTTTGGGATTTCTAGATAAGTTGGATTGGCTTCCTTCCCAAACTTTATCTTCAATAAACAACTGCTTTAGACTCTTCGTCCATGCATTGAATGACAACCTAGGTGAGTTTTTTATTTTTCTCCTAACTTTTTACAGGTCACCAATATGGAACAGCAAATCACAGAGTCCGACTTGGCAGAGCAAAATGCAGCAACAGGTTTCAACTGCCAAGGTAGTTTCCACTACTCTCCATGTGAGTGTTGAGAAAACTTTTGTGACCCTCTCTGAGTAGAGTTTCTCACCTACTTGGAAATGGGTTGTTGTTCACAGAGGCCCTCTGCCCCAAAGCCCAATTCTGCAGGAGACGAGCAGGCCGAGTAGGGATGATGGAGTTAAGTGCATCATCAGTTTAGAGTTGTTGCGTTCCAACAAGCACTCCAAGCCCACTTCATCCAGAATTCTGTTGAACCTTACCTGGCGCCAATTTAGTGTTCAACTTCAGTTGACCAAATTAATGTCAGGCGCAAAGAATCAGGGTCATTCATAAGGTTGTAACATAGAAGATTTATTAAGCCTGTGGGCAAGAATCAGGTCAACTGAAGTTCAAACCAAAGTCGGCACCAGATAAGGGTTAATGGAATTTGGGATGGATTGAATTTGGAGAACTTGTGAGAACGCAATGATTCCAAACTGATGATGCACTTAATGCGACACCCCAGCTCCACCAGTTTTTCTACAAATTCCTTGAGAAGAAGCATCTCCACAAGGCAACGCAGGGTGCCCAGGAATAGGTGTTCAGACCACTCATGTAGAGGAGAGCCATTAGTTGATGAGTGAAATCTATGGCGCCGGGGATCACTGGTTATTCAGTGGTGGAACCAAGACTATTGCCCTGTTTCTTGTTGCCCATTTCACTCAACGTCAGCATCTTGAGATAGCCTGTCTGGAATTTCGCTTTTTCCCCCGCCTTGTCAGATGGCACTTCCCAGATGGCCACCAAAGTTGTTCCTCTCCCCAATTGTCCCAGGTACTCCTCCGAAGATTTTTGTTCTCTGGATGTCCTTTCCTGATCTCTGATTTCTTCCCAGGTGGTCTTATAGGAAGAGGGGCAAGAAACAGAAGTTGCTCCAGCCTGAACAACCGCAAGTTAACCCAGACGTGCTTGCCGGACTCTCCAGACGATGAGGTCAATGGCCACAGCCAGACCACCATGGACCGGCCTCGTAGCAGGACATGCTCTCATAGCCGGCTCTCAAACTGTTCCTCAGAGAGTGTTGGTGTTTCTGAGAGAAACTGTTTGGACTTGGCCAGAGAAGACAAAGCCACTCCCTCATCTAAGCCACTGAAGATGTGCTGTGGGGTCTTCAGCCAGCCAGCTGCCCCACAGACTCCCTGCACCCACTGCTCAGTGCCTGTAAACAGTTTGCCCCACAGATGCCTCAAGAGGACGGCCCAACAGAGGGCAAGGAAAAACGCCATTTGCAACATTGTCCGATCCACTAGTGACCCGTTGTCCTGTTCAGCTACTACAGAAGGTAAGGGAGTCTTTAGGAGTAAGGGCAGCTTCTTCCTGGTCATGGTTTCCATCTGTTGCCTAACCATCACTCATCCCAACACCAACACCAAGAAGGCCCTGTCTCCCATGTTTATAGAGCATGATGATGGCAGAGCTTGTAGGACGTTTCAGATCTTAAAGCCCAGGTTGACTCATTTGGGAATAGAGACTTTTCATTGTCTTAACATGTTTGTTCTTCTTATACTTCAAGAAGCTCTGCTCAGTGCTTGTGATTCCTCTTCCCCAACCCTTTTGTCCAATAACTCTGACTGTGACTTCACTTGGTGTATGTCCAGCTGAGCTACCATTTTAAAGCTCCTTTTCTTCCCCTCCGTCCCCCCCCCTTTTTAGTTCCTGTGTCTAGTCCTCATGTGGCTGCCTCTACTTGCCAGGACCCTGGGAATCGACTTGTGCCAACCGGAAAGCCAAGGGGCCGCCCAAAAGCCGAACTTTCCCAGAAGCCAAAGGTCATCCTGAGCATCTGCAAAGAGCGGCCCCATTCCTTGGTGGACCTGCAGACCTACAAGGACACTAAGATCCTGGTGGCCAAATTTTTGGAACATTCGAACTGCAACTTTACCCCAGAAGTCCGTCACGTGGTCAACAGCATCCGGTCTGTCATCAAGTCTGATGAACGGCATATGGAAGAAGCCATCTTTAGCGCCAACGTCATTGATCAGGTGAGTGGCCTCTCTGAGTTACTTGGCGGGACCAGGATGGGTGGAGAAGAGATGAATCAATGTGCCCTAAATGGCCAGGTCCTTCCTTCCTTCCTTCCTTCCCTCCCTCCCTCCCTCCGGGTTCCAACCGATGCCCTAATTAAATCATGAGCCTCAAGCAGGTCAGGAATGCTTCACAAATTGACATCTCCCTCCCTTCCGTTCTGTCTCCTTCCTTCCTTCCTTCCTTCCTTCCTTCCTTCCTTCCTTCCTTCCTTTCTTTCTTTCTTTCTTTCCTTCCTTCTTTTATATAGCTGCCCAACTCACAATGACTTACAGAAATAAAACCCCAGTCGAAACCAGTGGTGAAATCCAAATTTTTTTACTACCGGTTCTGTGGGCATGGCTTGGTGGGCGTGGCAGGGAAATGATACTGCAAAATCCCCATTCCCTCCCCACTCCAGGGGGAAGGATATTGCAAAATCTCCATTCCCACCCCACTCTGGGGCCAGCCAGAGGTGGCATTTGCCGGTTCTCCGAACTACTCAGAATTTCTGCTACCAGTTCTCCAGAACCTGTCAGAACCTGCTGGATTTCACTCCTGGTCGAAACCCCAATAAACCTCCACCCACCGCTGGTGAGAGAGACCAACCCAAGGCCTTGATGCCTCACCGTTTCTTTCACCTGGCCCTCTCTTCCACAGGTCATCATGGGCTCCCAGCAGAATGTGGATCCCTCAAGAAAGCGACTTCAGGAAGACCTCCATCTCCAGAGCTGTGGAGCCCTAAGCTCTCCTGTTGCCTTCTTACACAGGGCCCCCGTCACGCATGCCTTTGAAAGAGGAAGGCCCCACAGTTTAATCGAAGTGTGCCGAGAGACCATCCTTTGACAATGGGCCTTAATGCAAACTCTGCAAAAGAGATTCTGGGGAGCTGGGTAATGGGTGGAGATTCACCCCCTCTTCCACGGCTGTCTTGGAAGAAACAAGAGGAAAGTCAACCAGGGTCTCTGGAAGAGTTTTCCTCTTGTAGAGTTCTACGCTAGATTTTTATTCCCAGGGCTGAGCGCTCAACTCTTCATGACTGCATATTCAACCAAGACTGTTTTATGGGGAAAAAATTGCTTCTTATTTAACAATGAAACAAACAAACAGAAAACCCACCGAAGCGTATCTTTTTCTCCTCCTACCAAGGAATTTGGTTTTCTAAAGGGTCTGTCTGGGGAGTAAGGGAGACTGGGGAGGGCTGGGGGGTAGAGTGGGATGGGGCGAGGGAAGGAAATAAACTTTCTTGCTGAGCCGCAGTGATCCTTCTGTACAATGTAGGAGTTGCGTTTTAATCATTGTACCTCAAAAGTGTTTGCACCAAATCTGAACAGTGTTTTCATAATTAAAAGGGTATTTCTGGAGACGACAGACTTCCAGAACTGATTTTGTGCTGGCAATAGATCAGCCTCTTTTTTTCTATGTTGTCATTGTTGAGTTACTTGAACTGAGAAGAACAAAATTGAGAATGTGATTTCCAATTCCCAATTCCAACCTGGTCACTAACATCGTATTTCATTTGGGGTTTGTGCAATACCTATTTTGTTCACAACCTAGATTTGATGGACCTTAGGAAATTCAAGTTCAAACTCCCCACCAATGATTGAAGTTCACAGAGAACTTTGAACTTTGTTGCATCCTCTCAATTCAGCCATGATTGAATCGTTCTTGAGAAGATTGGAAGAAAAGGGTGTTGTGTGTATCACTGTTAGCTTCCGAAGGAAATGTGGAGCAGGCATCTAACTAATTCCTTTGTTGTTTTGAGAAGGAGATTTAGATCAGCTCTTATTCTGCACACTTAGGGCCCTTTCTTCAGACCCTCACTCTGACTTCACTGTAATTGTCTTGAGGAAACCCATGTGAACATCTCCTTCTGGCATGGTAGTCAGTGAAAACACAACTTATATCACCCCATAATGCCTGGCTATGCTGGCTAGAAATCATAGAAGGTGAAGTCTAACCCACCTGGTTTTCCTCCTCTCCCCCATCTACGGCAGGAGCTTCAAAGGTTTGGAGAGAAGAATAGTCCATCAGTCGTCCAGCAAATCACCATATTTGGAAAGTGCCTTTTGAGCATGAAGCTACAGTGACCTCCAGTGGAGCACCAAGGAAGTTGAGATGCTCACCAACTGGTGCTCTTCAGAAGTCTACAAGACCGATATCTGAGGGGTAGAAGAAAGGCCAAACAATGCATTTCTCTTCAGCAAGACCTTGTCCTTTTCCAAGATGTTGTGTGTGCCCATTTTCCCACGTGTTCCATCGAAGGACACTGAGATACCACCAGCCGTGGCTCGGTGGCCTGCAAAACAACCAAGCGAAGCTGCACTGTTTCATTACTCCAAATTTATTAATGAGTATAGATTAATTCTCTCCTAGTGTCCCTTGCATGCAACAGAACTCTACTACGGTGTTACTCCTTGAAGTAGATTTAATGCTATGGTTTTCGTTACGGTAGGCTAAGGCTTTCCTTATTTTTTTTTATCACAGTGTCATTTTTTTCTTCGACCACAGGAGAGAGGAAAAGAAATCAAGACGAAAAGAGTTACATCAGTTGACATTTATCTCGTAATGAACACATGATAACTATTCCTTGGTTTATCGTTGCCACAAATCTTAATACTGCAGATGGCAAAGATTCTGCATTCGGCGTCACCGTTTACATTCAGACATGTTGGCTCAGGAGAATCAAAGACAAACAGAACGATATTAAACATTTTGATATAAAAAAGTTGCATTTAAGCATGGCTTTCCGAGAGTGAACTGAAGTTCAACGAAAGGGTGATATGGAAGGCAATGGGACGAGAAAAAGAGGAGCCTTATTTCCCTGGTTTTCCCGACTTGCAAAACTCTAGGAACGATATTCTCAGCGTTAAAAAGGTTCGGTCTCTCCAAAACAGAAATGTAATAAATATCCCATTGAAATAAATATCCCGCATTCGTATTGCAAAGATTCTTTCGCTTTTTTTTTTTCCTGGCAGGGATATTAAGAATTCCCCCAAAAAGTTTTCAGTGTTGTTTTCTTTTTTTCCATATCACTCACATTCACTCTGAAACCTTTCTACTTCACATACAAACCACGTCTCATCAAAAGTCACGTGACAATAAGGATACCAATGACAACAGCAGGGTATTTTGATTTCTCATTTGATAGCAATGGACACTCTCCCACCCCCAAACCTCCCTCCAGCCCCCCTTTAAAACTGCACCCCTTCTCAGTCATTGCAACAACCCCTCCTCGGCTGCGTCCACTGGGTTGGGAAGGTGCAGTCCAGTGGAAGCCTCCCCAGGTGGAAAGGGCCTGGTTTCCGTAGACCCCACGTGCCTCGTGGCTGAAGGTGGCAGAGACGGACAGAGGACTATGGACATGCTGGAATCCCCTTACAGTAAAGTATTAGAAGGACATAATAAGTGTCTCTCTGCAACCAGAAGGTCCAAACAGCCATGGGACTCGATCAGCTTCGAGGTGGACTTCATCCTGAGTCATGAAGATGGAGATTGCCGATCACGTGGCTGGAAAGATGATGTCTGTGGTTATTTGCCATAATGAGGACGTCATCATCTTTTGGCAAGGTTTACAAAGGAGAGAGAGAGGTAAACTAAGAAACAAACCCAACAGAAAAAAGGCAAAGGAACTGGATCCATCGAGTGTCCAGCATATCCAGTTTTGGGTTCAAACCGTGCCCGTTTCCTACAAAATACAACATTTCTCTGGAAGTTTAAGCTTAGGCAGCAGGATATGGTTTGCTGGAGGAGCAGCCGAGCTTCCCTTTTAGATGTAGAGTGGAGTTTCTTGACCGGTCAGCAGGCGGAACATGGCAGCAGGCATGGTCTTCATGTGGATCTGTTTGGGAGAGAATTGGGGGTGAGGAGGAGGGACTGGAGGCTTCAGGCTGCCTGCCTACAGCCATTCTTCATGGTTGGTGTGGACCTTGAACGTGGCCAAGCTAACCATTAAGGTCAAAGCCCATCAACAACCAGGGCAGAGATGGAAAATATATTTTCCTACAGCCATGGCCAACCACAGTATATCTAACACCTAACGGTTATCACCCTTATGAAGTTCGGATTCCCAGGAACGCAAGGCAGGCTATGGAGCAGAGCAACTTGTGAAGTTTGTTATGACATTTCTGGTCCCGTTGCCTAGCCTGGAAGGTACTAATGATAAAAAGAAATAAAAAACACTTGTATCCCTATCACTGCGTTAAAAAAATGCATGCTGGAAAGACTCACCTCTCCGACGGAGTTGGACAAGGCTTGGACAATCTTCTCATGAGCCGTAGCGACAACACTTTGACCATTGATCTCGATAATGCGATGCCCTACCCGGACCCCGCCTCTCTCTGCAATCCCACCTCGCATCAAGCTGCAGATCTGGATGGAGAAAAGGAGAGCTGTTCAATTAAATGGAAAAGGGGCAGTTTGGCCAGAAGGGTTAGAAATAATAGGAAGGTCTTCTCCTGAGCTACCACACTATAGAAATTAGGCATTTCCCTTGGCTGATGGATTCAGTCTTCTACCATCTACCAACTTTTACCGTCTTCACCCCCTGCTTTCTAAAGGTGGACAAAGAGAGGGCAAAAGTTACTCAACATTAGGAAGCTAAGATGATCTCAACGGGCAATGCCAACCCAACATTAATTAGGGAAGGAAGTTGTTGAAGTAACAGCAGAGTTGATCTTAAGATTTAAACATGGTGCCAGAAGCAGGGGTGAAATCCAGCAGGTTCTGACAGGTTCTGGAGAACCAGTAGCGGAAATTTTGAGTAGTTCGGAGAACCGGCAAATACCACCTCTGGCTGGCCCCAGAGTGGGGTGGGAATGAAGATTTTGCAGTATCTTTCCCTCAGGAGTGGGGAGGGAATGGAGATTTTGTAGTATCCCTCCCCTGCCATGCCCACCAAGCCACACCACGGCCACCAAGCCATGCCCACAGAATCGGTAGTAAAAAAAAATTGGATTTCACCACCATGCCAGAAGCCATGAAATGGAGCACTGATAATGGAGCACTAGTTGGATCATGAGACATCTGCAAGCCAACAACCAAGCTCAAAGATCACCAAGGCCTCCACAAAATCTGGTGATGCCTCCTTAGCACAATCTAGAGCTCCTGATTGATCAGGAAATGATCTCCAGGTCCCAGCGCTCCAGCGCCTCTCTCCTAATAGGACAGAAATTCTAATCAGCCTGCATCTGGTTCACGCAAAGTAAAGGAGAACGATAGCCAGGGAATTCTCCTAAAGCCCCAGGATCCGTGTGCTTTTCGGTGTGTGCTTTCCCCAAAGGAAGCGCCACACTTCCTGTGAGTGCCAGCTGAAGAACAGCGTAGAAATGGTTGCTATGGGAATACGTCCCTATGCACACACAACGCGCATACAAATGGGCTTTAATTCCTGTTCTTGGATGCATCCTGACTCGGAGAAGCACTTTCTTTAAAAAGCCTGTTGGGAAGTCGATACGGTGCACCAAATAGGCTTGAAGGTTTGAAGCAGGTTCCTGGGGAAACTGGGTCTTCTCACGGCCTGGCATCCACTTTTGTTGACATCGGAAGAGGAGATATTAGGTTCAAGAAGAAGAAGAAGGCTAAAGAATTGGTGATTTAGGGGGCTAAGGATTCAGATTACCATATACGGAGGGACCCATGGAAAACACATGGCCAAAAGGCTTGATTTTTTACATAATATTAGGATTTGCAAATTTTATTTTTACTTTTTGCTTTTTTTTCTTTCTTTTTTCTTCCTTACTTTATATTAGTTGGTATTTGTTTTTATCTTCTTTTTAAAACAGTTCAGCAAAAATCCTATTTAATAAAAAAAAAAAAACCTGTCTGGCTTTTCTTGTTATTGTAATACTGCAAGAAATTTTTAAAAAACGGCTTTGTTTATTTACGAGCCAAATTTCCTACGGAAAAACCCCCAAGCAGTTTGGTCTTTATAATCCTCTCGGGGGTATCTCTCAGCACCCAGAGTCCTGTAGAAATCCCATCTTATTGCAAGACATCAATTTGAGGTTGCTGTGTAGAAGAAACAGCCCCAAAGAGCAAATTGTGGGTCAGATTTCTGCACCAGCAGACGAAGCCTATTTTCCTTAATTGTGAATATATGTTATAGCCACTAGATGGTACCAAGCGACAATTACAAAGAGGCCTAGTGGATGATAAGGCCATTCCGAAGCCATCTGGTGATTCTATATGGGTGGCCAAAGCGGCCTAAGACTTCTGGCACAAACATCTGGACTGGAAGCATCTCCTTTTAAAGGAGGAGGAGCCAGGAACCCCACCATCCTGAAGATGGTCCTGAAGAACCAAATATGAGCCTCCATGCCCCCATATACAGTAGGGCAGCGTTGAGGAACCTTTTCGACACTGAGGGCTGAAATGGGGCTGTGCGCACGCACGTGTTGGAAACCAGAATATCATCTTCCTGGCGTGAGCATGGACACCGGGCAGCTGCTCTTCCTGTTTCTGGTGCTCCCGCGTGCATGAAGACGAGCTGGCCAGTGCATCTGAACCTGGAAGAGCAATGGGCGATGGCTCATGCATGCCATAGGTTCGCCACCTCCAGAAGTTGTGAATGCTCCAACACTGGAAATTTTTAAGAAGAGGTTGAATAACCATTTGTCTGAACTGGTGTAGGGTTTCCTGCCTAAGCAGGGGGTTGGACTAGAAGATCTCCAAGGTCCCTTCCAACTCTGTTATTCTATTCTATCATGGCAGTAGGGCTTCTCACTTTCCTCACTTTCCTTCCAATTGTAGCTTTCATTAGATAGTGTCCTTTCACGGTTGGTTTTCAGGAACCAACCAGATACCCTAGATGTGATCAGGAGCTTAAGGAACCTCCCAAGGTTGCCTATATCAGGAGGCAGAGGGGGAGAGAAATACATTGACCTTATGCCAATGCCACAATGTACGTGATCTCAACAGAAGATATCAGGACATAATTGTGGCCATTGCATGATGACATCACTCAGGTATGGAATCATTTTGGTGTCATGATAGTTGGCCATGGACCATGCTGGACCTTCTTTGATGCTCCCACATGCTTTATTCTTCCTCTCATGTAGGTGAATGTTACAAATACGATGACCAAACTTGGAATCTCCGTCTGTTGTTCCTGATCCGGTCAGAATTGTAAGTCAAATGAATTCTGAATTCTGACCTGTTTAGGATCTAGGACTCACCTGAGTCCTACAACTGTTCCTTGACTTACTCTGCCCACTGGAAAGAAAGTGGACAAGGCACCAGCTCTGTATATCATCTGGGGGCTCATTGCAAGTCATTTGAAGGCACAAACATTTGTGAGGACACCTACTTTCTGTGGCAGACTAACATGGCTTCTTTTCCAGGATTTGTCCCAAGGCAAGGCAAGACACTCAAATATTGGGCTGCCCTCTTCTGTTGAGGAAAAGTTGCTTTCCCAGCCCACTTTTCATACCCAGGATTGAAAGAATGAAGAGACTCACAATTCCGTTCTGTACACTGAAACCCAGCTGGTATTTCAGATCTGGGCGCTTGATTAAGACGGTGGTGACTGGAGGGCAACTGACAATGTTCAATTTCACTTGCGTCTGATTCTTAAGGCCCTGCAGAAGACACTCAACATTAGTAATTATCTCATCAAGCAAAGCAAGGTAGACAAGATGGACACCCGGAACTGGCCAGAAGAAGGTTGGGGAAATCATGACATCACCACACCAAACGAGACAACAGATGTAACTTACATCCTTTGCAGAATGTCACAATAGGCCTAGTGTCTGGGCTACTTTAAATGATGGTTAGGGTTCTCAACATGTTGTCAGAACTCGCCTGGGCGGTAAGTTTTTGGCTCAACTTACATTGCAAATTTGATAAACAGGTTGAGATGGGTGTCAGAACCTAGCCAACATGTAAATACGGCAATAGGAGGAATTAATGTTGGAAGCCAACTAGAGTCATTCCATCCTCCCAGATGACCAGCTGACACAAATAAGGACAGACGGGTACCTTAATGATTCCTTGACAGGTTGCTAAAGGAAGGCCAACTAAACTGGTCCCATTAATGGACATAATCTGGTCTCCGATGCTGAGCTTTCCTGAACGGGCTGCTGGCCCTCCATTCATCATATTAGCCAGGATAACCGTGGGCAAAATGGACCCCCAGCCAGACTCCACAACCACCACACCAAGGATCTCCCCCTTGTGTTTGGCGATCTGCAGCTGGAAGACACAAGAGCAGAGAGAATGAATGCTTGTGGAACATCTACAGAAACAGGAGGTGATTTCTTCTCCAAGCATGTTCTCCAAAAGGGCCTGCCCTCTGCCAGTGATGCAGAGAAGATTCTGCAGGCATGCAAGGAGAAGATTCTTCCCTGCATGCAGAAGAAGTCCAGGCTAAATCAAAGTGCTATTTTCTTGAGAAGAAGACATGATTGTTTGGGGAATCTAAAGTGACTTCTTTTGGCTGGCCTAGGAAGGAACCAGGGCTCTTTTCAGAAAAATGCCGCATTAAGGAAGGCGACATTTTTCCACCCCCAGTTCATTCTCCTCCTCACTTTGCATTGTGTCTCCTTCAAGGAAAACCTCGTTTATTATTGACCTTCTCCAATAGTGCAAACAACAACGGTCAAAAACACGCACCAGGGAGCATGCGTGCTCTCTCCCTCATCCTGAATCTGAGTAGATTACAATTTATTTACCCTTCCCCTGGTATTGATTTAAAATCCAATTTCCACCTGGCTTGTATATTTTGGCTTCGCTTCCCATTCCTTTGGCTGCTTTTCAACGTCCAAGCATATTGCTTAATACACAGCCTGAGCTGTCAGGGTTATAGTGTTGACTTGCCTTGTGGTTATATTTATGCAGCTAGTTTCAAGAGTAGGGGTTTCTCCTCTAAAATGACTTTTCAAGTATTAAACACCCTGGGTCCTCCAAGGCCTCTTAAAACAGATAAATGTGATTATTCACCCTTTTGTTGTCCAAAAACAACAGCAAAAAACCTGTCTGTCCATCAATCCATCGATCAATTGATCCATCCATCCATCCATGCATCATCTATAGCATATACAGTATATGGCTACCCACCTCACAAAAATGACACTGAGTGGTGCACAACAATGAAACAGAGAGATACAGAAAAAGTGTTGCTTTTTCCTAGAGGATGCTCTGGATTTATGCCACTCAGATGTGGTAGCCCTGGTCAACATCTCAGTGAACTTAATTTCACTCGTCTATCCTGAAGGCTTAAAACCAGATTTGCAAATGACCTCGTGAAACTCCAGCTGAGTTCTCAGCAGTCACTTTATGTGTTAAGGAAAGATTGAAGGAGCTTCCAATGATAAAAACTCCCCACCACCACCAATCCCAAAATAACCCAGTTCAGAAAAAAGCAATCACCTCTTTGCAGTTCTCTGAGTTGGAGAAGTGAATCAAATCATCGTTATACATTTCCTGGGTGTTGATGATATCGCTGTATTCTTTCTGACTGAGATCTTCGGGGTTGATGCCGTTGGCCCGGAGAAATTCCTGATAGGCCACGCTGAAAGCTTGTCCGATCGATTGAGCTATCAGCTGGGCCTTCAAGAGAAGGAGAAGAAGGAAAGAGATCACCAACTTGGGAGAGGAACAACATACTTGTTGGCCAACTGAAGAGACTGACCCATCCTATTCTTGAAACTGGCGGAATCCCCCCATGGACAATGCTGTGGAAGTGGAAGCTGTTTGGAGGAAGACTTGTAGGAAAAAACATGGAACTTACTTGCAGGACTGGCTAATAGGAACAGAGTGGTTGTCACAATTATTCAGGGTTGGGAGGTGAGACAAGACAAGCAAACTCAACTTGGGCAACTTCAGTCACCTTCTTTAAATAGAGATCACCTTAGTTTTTGGTCCTTCATCACCAACGTCACTTGGGAGAAAATGAATTTCCCTGTTTTTAAGATGTTGAAGCTTTCTTTCAACAAATATGTCTCCAGGAGTCCGGGAGACTAACAGGACAAATAAAAGAGGCTCCCCTTTCTCTCATAATGCATAATTGGGTTTGGAAATGGGCTGTCTTCAGATGTGGCGGCAGCCGTAACATTAGACGCATTTCTAAGGCCATTAGACTCACTCTTGGAGTATCAGATTATCAGAGGCAATTAGCTCTGATGGCTCTTGCAATAACCTAATTGATTAGACAATAAAAGACAACATATAATTCCACAGTGTTACGCACGCTCTTACTCCAGATTCCTACTCTACTCTGCTATTCTTTGAGGTTTGTTGGATTTCAGTTCCCATAAACTGCAAAGAGGTGTGCCATCCAGGGTTGAAATTATGGAATGTAGAGTCCAATTCTACATTCTTATATCTAGAAGGCTTCTATCCTGGCTAGAATTTATGGGACTTGGGGTCCAGAATATATATATATATATATAAAAGCTAGGAGATCAATCAATCTGGAGGCCTGGAATTTATGGAGAGTTGGACACTAAAACATCTACAGGATTTGATGCTGTGGAGCTCCTTCTGCCCTTAGTCCTTTCCCTTTATTCCAATGTTTAAAATTCCAAGTCCTAGGTCAGGGAATTGAAAAAAACATTGTTCTGGAATGTTTTGACCTTCATAGAAGTAGGAGAGAAGGACAATTCATGGTTTTCAACAGTTGGGTTGAACTCTGCCTTGGCCAAAGGTTGTGACATGGATATTTTTCAGAGTGAGATCCTAATTGTTCACAATGGTATCTTGTGTGGAATTTCTGTGTGGTAATTTAAGAGGCAATTCTTGGCCGCTAGATGTCACTGCAGCAGAGACAGTATAAGTGTCTCTTGTGGGACATAACATGGACTTCTAATTTTAAAAGCACCTGTAAGAAGAACCAGAATTAAATGCTCACTGAAGCCATTTAACATTATTCATCCTTCTGGACACTATTCTGGAACCAAACCATCACTTTTAAAATTCAGATTCCTGTTCTGCAGTCATGTGATTTGACTTTTTACTGTTTTAGCGCTTCTGCAACCCTTCTTCACCACCATAAAATATGGTGACGGAGGACCTGCAGCAAAGAGAGATCTGCACGAAGGTGTAAAAGAATTGCTCAGTTGGTTGAACACCTTCTTTATGTGAAGACACCCCCACCCCCCGGGCATCTTGAATTTAGAAGATCAAGGTAGGAGTTGTGCAAGAAACATCTCCCTTGGAGAATCACCAAGGGCCAAGTCAACGCTGAAGAGTACAGTGATGTTCACTCACATCCTCGGATTCGAAAACGTGGCAGATCATCTTGTACTGTTTCTTCCCTTCTTGCACCCCGGGGGTCGTCTCGATGCAATCCTGGGATGCTGACCGAGGCATTCGACGGCGGGCCATCAGGACCACAATGTTGCCAATGTCAGCGATGTAAGAGATGGTGCGCAGCGCATGGTCCATCATGGTTTCCTAGAAGAAGGGGACAAGGTTGCTTTCATTCCCAGTTAATGCAAATTAGTAATGCAAAAAAAAAAAGGTTAAGAGAGGAAAAAATTCAATACAAATGGTAGTCCTTGACTTATGATAGTAAAGGAGCCTGGAATTTCCATTGTAAGTCGGTTGTAAGTCGAAGCATCCAAGTGTTTAGACCCAGTTCACAGCTTTTTATTTTTTGAAGTGGTCATTAAACAAATCATTGTATTCCTATAGGTTTTTTTTCCAGAAACCAACTGAAAAGGCCAGAAACTGGCAAACATAATAAATCACAGTTGCATGACTGCAGAACACTGCAACTGGCGAAAAGCGTGAGCCAAGCACCCAAAATGGGGTCATGTGATCCTAAGGATGTGTGCAGCCATTGGAACTCTGGAACCAGGTCATAAGTACTTTTACTTTTAGATGGTTGCTAAACGAGGACTGCCTCTATGGCAAAGTTGCAGTGGCTAACCACCAATGATTAATAGCCCTAACTCTAAGAGGAGCAACTGGGGTTCAGGCCCCGTATTTCAAATCATGGGTAGGTCTGCGTGATGACCCCTTTTTCTGCCAATACAAAACGAAGAACAGAATGACAGAGTTGGAAGGGGCCTTGGAGGTCTTCTAATCCAACCCCTTGCCCAAGCAGGACAACCTGTACTCTTTCAGACAAAGGGCTCTCCAGTCTCTTCTTAGAAACCTCCATGATGGATCTCCTACAACTTCTGGAGGCAAGCTGTTCCATCGGTTCATTGTTCTTCATTAAATCATTGAATGCCACTTCACTCCTTGGGTGAACAACTCAACTCTTGCCTTGCCTTTCAGAGGGCATCCTAGGAGAATTGCCAGTCACCACACCTGGATGAAAAAGAAGGGCATCCAGAATGCAACTCTTGGTGAGGATACACTGAAACTGGCCAGGATCAATGACAGACAGAATTGATATCCTCACCTTGTTTGACTTTTGTTCTTCGACTCTTCCCCAGGAGATGCTCTAAGCATCAAAGTCAACAGAGGTCTGCAGAGAGCAACTCCTGATTCGCCGTGGCAGGAAGGAAATTAATTTGTTCAGAGCCCTCTTAACACCTCCAGTCTTGCTTTTAGCTATGGTGGATCAGTCACAAAGCAGACCACTGACGTTTCTGCACTCACTGTGGCTTTCATTATTTACATGCAGCAATGAAAAGCAACTATGAAATTCATTTGCTACATCGGCTAGCTTGCTCCATTACGGTGTGTCGTTTTATTAAATACCGGGAATAAACCCAGGGCTGGATGGCAGCCACGCTCAGATCTTTTCTATAATGACTCGAACAGCTGCCTGCCTGGAAAAACCTACAACCAGAGTGAAATGCTTGAAGAGAGAAGTCACTTTTCGAGACCTGGGAGGATAGCACAGAAAATCCTTGTTTAGCAACTGTCTCAAACAGTGACTGCAGTCATGATGGGGGTGAAAAAAAATCACTTTGCAGCCCATTCTAACTTTGCAGGTCTGTAAAATGAAAGGAAGCTGAATTTGGCTGATAAGCACCGTTCAGACAAGAACAAAGATTTCAAAATCTCTGTTTTGGCTGGTGGGATCGGGAATGAGGAAGTAATGTAAATATATGGAAGAAAGCCAAAAATGTAGCTGGTCGAGGGGTCCACTCTCATGGTTACAGGAGATGGAAGTGGTTTGGAATGCGTGTTCAAGAACCTTTCTAAAATAAAATGCAAGGAATCTTCTCTTGGCCAAAAGCTCACATCAGTGCATTTTTTCCAGCCTTTCCCCATCTGATTTCAACTGTCAAGAATTCTCTTAAGAGAAGGCCACGCTGGATGGAGAATTCCTCCGATGAAGATCCAGACTTCATCTGGAATGAGAGAGGGCAGCTGTCCTAAAGCCAATCTGCCTTTTGACAAAGGTCACAGTGAAGGTTGGGCAGGGAGATGATCTCCTCTATCTTCTCTTTCCTCCACTTTTCCTGTCCAACCAACAGGATGGCAGAAGAGAAAGAGTTAGCTCTTCTAGGACATCTGAACGGGACCCTTGCAGAAACACTGCAGAGACTTGGACCCCTCAAAATTATTTCATGGCCCTGTAATTAATGCTGCAGTGATGGGACCGTTTGTTTACCTGGGTGTCTGCATTAAGAACTTTAATCCTCTGGGTGGAGATGAACAGGTCCACCTCTGTCAAAGCATGGACATCCCCTTCAGACGTCTAAAAAAAGACAAGAGAGTAGTAAATTCACTTAAAGAATGTTCTTGAAATAGTAGGTTCCTCACGGACTACTTCTGATATGATGGGACATACAACAGGCACACTGAGTAACTTACTGTGACACAAAACAACTATTTGGAATGGTTAATTTTCAAAAAAGAAAGACATGCAAAGCTTCAACGGTACAAATTAACTTTCCAGTTTCGGAGTTCTGCCTTTACCAAAGATGGGAAAACAAGGCAAGAGAGATTCCAAATCGGAAGTTTTGCTTCTATGGTAATGATCTCCAGCAGGAATGATTATATTAATCAGATGAGGCTGAAACCCAGAAAACTTTTTAAAGATCAAGAGGTGACTTATTCCACAGAGGTTTAGGGCAGGGGTGAAATCCAGCAGGTTCTGACAGGTTCTGGAGAACCGGTAGCGGAAATTTTGAGAAGTTCGGAGAGCCGTCAAATACCACCTCTGGCTAGTCCCAGAGTGGGGTGGGAATTGAGATTTTGCAATATCCTTCCCCTGGAGTGGGGTGGGAATGGGGATTTTGCAGTATCCTTCCCTGCCATGCCCACCAAGCCACGTCCACCAAGCCATGCTCACAGAACCAGTAGTAAAAAAAAATTGGATTTCACCACTGGTTTAGGGTAATCACCAAACTTAAGGATCACACATTTTGGCTGGCTTTCCTCCTTTAGACCACCAATGGGCAGACGTGTTGGATCTACTTTGATTTATTTTTGTCTTTATTAAAAACCCAAAGTTAGTTTAGCATTAAGGACCAAGCTCCATTCAGTATTTTTTTTTCCCAGCAGCCATTTTGCTCAAAAATCCATTCTTGGTTCTTTTTCTCCCACACTTCATCAAGCTAATCTTCAGAACCAAGGCAAGTTGACCTTAAGAAAAGAAAAGCTGGGCTGGCAGACTGAAGAGATACCATTGTGAAATGAAAATAAATCACGACTGCTCCTCTGAGCCGTTTCTGCTACTGAGGGAATCAACAGAAAGAAACCTTTGCCAAAGAAAAATATTATGTTTATTGAAGCATAGCAAAAATTAAAAAGGAAAAAAAAAAATATCTCCAAGTAGCCCAGAGAGAAGACTTGGGGAAAAATGGAAAGTTCTCTAATGAAACCAACTGGCCTCCATCCCTCCAACCAGACAGATCTATTTTAGGAAGGTTCATACAGACATAAATACAAGACTTGTATTACGGTTTCATGAACTTCCACACAGAGAAGAAGCACAACAGGATGCACAAGGACGATTAAAGAAGGGGGATGAAAAAGCCGAAAGCAATCCAAAACGTGAAACAGACATTAGAATTCAAGAAAAACAGTTTACACACCGCTTTTTTCTTGATTTTAGCTGCCTTTTGCATCCTCTTGGGGGGAACGAGAAGCATTAAAAATAAATAAATAATACATAAATCAAAGGGAAACAGACAAATGCATAAAAGGAGATGGGGAGGAGAAGAGAGGGAAAAACCATCTTAGGGAGTTAGCAAAATATTTTGGAAATCACTCCTTTCGGGGATCCCAAAAACGTCAAGTGGGAATTTAACGGAAGGGTATCCTGGGTGTGAGGGGGTCGGGGGCACCATTCTGAGAATGAAGTGAGCATTTCAGAGGGAGGCAAAACTCACTGTTCTTTTGTCTTCTTCTCAAACATCCACTGATCTTCTTATTTCCCTAGAAGATCTTTGCTTGCTTTTGATAAACCAGAATTGCAGGCTTTTTAGGACAGGGGTCTCCAAACTTGGCATCTTCAAGACTTATGGACTTCAAATCCCAAAATTCCCTAGCCAGCACATGCTAGGTCCACAAGACTTGAAGTCCACAAGTCTTAAAGTTTGGTGGCTCCAATTCTAGAACATTAAATGGGACAGCCACCTGTGAGATTAGACCAGTATTTCTCAACTTTGGTAGCTTGAAGATGGATGGAGTTCAACTCCTAGAATCCCCCAGCCAGCAGCGCTGGCTGGGGGATTCTGGGAGTTGAAGTCCACCCATCTTCAAGCTTCCAAGGTTGAGAAACACTGGTTTAGACCAAGCCGAGCCACCAAAGCCTGGGAGATAATTACAGAGAATATTTTTTTGGGAAATACTCTATCATAATAATTATTTGAAAGTTATTGGCCACCCAACTCTAGTGATGCTCAGTGGAAAAATTCAAGGGTCCTAGGTAGAACATGGCCACATGCATTGCAACAAAGAAAGATGTGATTGCCACCAAAAAGAGCGACCACATCCAAGGTCTTCTCCAGGAGTCCAGAAAACCTAGTAGAATTTATTTTTGTTGTCATGTTGTCTTGTATTTCTCCAATCTCACTGAGAATCAGTTACAGTGGGGACAGGGAGAAGGACAGCATCACAGCCCCACAACACAAGTGTGTTAGATAGTGCCAAGAGGGGAAGAGATGGCACTCCATATATCCTTAATAAATAGCTTGAACTGAATCATGCTTCCATGACCATCAACGTGAGTAGTTGGTTACAGAAAGGGAAGCGGAATCACCCACAGAATTAGGATCAGTGTTTTTAATTGGACTTAAGAAATATGGGGACGATGTTATGTTCCTACATATCTTACATATCCTTACATAGGAAAATATATAGCTGCCTCATCCACCCAACCTAGAAAGGTTAGGTTGACATGTTGTCATGTATGTTTTCGCACATTTGCAAAACCCCACATGTAATAAAAGGAACCTGGATTTTGACTATATTTCGAACACTTATTAGAAATCCCTTTATACATTTTCACTAGTCTATCTGGGGTCAAGTACCAACAATACATCATTTTATAAAAAAATTCTTTTATAAGGCATTATATTATACCCAAGAAATTTTGCCCATTTTACTATACACTCTTTAACATATTCATCTGCTAGGTTCATCTTGAATAACATTTTATATGCTTTAGAAATCAAAAGGTCATCTCCAGAACATAAATTAATGTCCCGTTCAGATTTAGTTCTGATTTAGAGCTGTATTAGCAATAGCACTTAGACTTATATACTGCTTTACAGTGCTTTACAGCCCTCTCTAAATGATTTACAGAGTCGGAATATTGCCCCCAACAATCTGGGTCCTCATTTTACCAACCTCGGAAGGATGAAAGGCTGAATCAACCTTGAGCCTGGTGAGATTTGAACTGCCAAATTGCAGGCAGCCGGCAGGCAGCAGAAGTAGCCTGCAGTACCACACTCTAACCCCTGTGCCACCGTGGCTCATTATAAACCCAGATCCCTGAATCTAGTCTCGATGGTGATCTCAAAGCCCTCGGAAAGCTCTTGTCTCTATTAATTGTCTACAGCAAGGGGATCCCTGTTCCTAAGTCTTGAAAGTCCAATCATCAAAGATTTTTGGTCCTTCCCACCCTACCTTGACACGGCTCACTGCTTCTTGGGCTTGCATCATCCGGATGTTTTTGGAAGGGTTGCGTTCGGAGAGCAACTGGGTAGAACCCAAGTAATTGGCTGCAAAGATGATGCCATCAATGAGGTCCTCAGGCTCGCAAGGACCTGGAACTAAAAACAGAGAAGAGGCAATTATGTCTGAAGCAGAAGCAGCCAAAGAGGAAGAATGAGCTATAAGAGAGTCTTGGTGGCGCAGTGGTTAGAGTGCAGTATTGCAGGCTAACTCACTGCCCACTGCAAGCAGTTCGATCTTGACCGGCTCAAGGTTGACTCAGCCTTCCATCCTTCCAAGATGGGTAAAACAAGGGCTCAGATTATTGGTGGCAAATATGGTAACTCTGTAAACCACTTAGAGAGGCTGTAAAACAGTATGAAGCAGTATATAAGTCTAGGTGTTATTACTATTGCTACAAATCCTATGCCCTCTTTTCTTAATAGACAATTAATAAATAATAATTAATTCATAGATATTTTGTACCTTTGTTCCGGATAATAAATACAAAGCTACTTTTTTTTGTTTTATTAAAATTATCAGTGTAAAAATTAGCACAAATTATCCAATTCATCTTACTCAAGTTTGTTCTTGCTTATTCCCATGAAATCTGTGGCTATAAGACCCCGAGTCTCAATTAAGAAGAGATCCTTGAGATAGTCATAAAATGGAGAACGTGCAATCTTGGGATGGCTTGAAGCTTGGTTTTCTTTTTGGTTTTTTTTGCACCCTGACAGATCATCTTGCCATCATCTCTCCATCTAAGACCGTTACAAGGCAAGGGAATTTCTTCCCTTTAACAATGCAACAGTGGAAATAGGGATGCTTGCTGCAGCAGCAGCCACCAAACGCTGTTCTCATAAGGAGAAAAATAAAATAAAATCACAGGGGAAGAGACGTGGTAAATGAAGAGACAGATTGCAGCTGGCTCTAGGAACAGGTTCCTGAAAATACATATTTTCCCCTCTCTTAAACTCACAACAAGACCAGGGCTTGTTCCTATGCGAGGCACATGTTTTTCCCCAAGGAAAAGTAACAGCGTGAGAAATTCCCCCGTTGCTTAGCTGGTTATTGTTCCTGTTAATTTAAGCATGTCAAGATTAGAAAAAGAAGAGGAACAGCATTCACCTCCGTTTGACTCCGGGGTTTACTGGTTTTCTAAAAGTCCTTTGCAGGAGAGTCTCACCTGGCACTGACCGCCTCAAAAACAGCCGGCCTGGGCAGCTGGAGAGGCCAGCGTCAATGGGAAGGCAGTAACCAGGAGGCATTGCCAAGAATCAAAGGACTGTATCGCAGAGAAGAAGGAGAGCCAGACCAAGCTATGGCTGATACCATCCAAGCAAATCAGTTGCTAGGGAGGTTGGTAGGGCTCATCCTGAGTTTGAGAACACTTTATTTGCTGGTTGGTTGGTTGCATTTATAGATGTCAAATCCTGGAGCGCACGGCAGAATGAACGAGTGGTGAGGAAGCTCAAAGCTTTAAGTTTTTTCTCATTTAAGAATCTTTCTAGGCCAACTTCGTGCTGAGCAGGAAGCTTAAACAAACGAAGGTATCTCAGTCTGGGGCTAAAATGAGATCTAAGGAGGGGTTGAACCGAGCTGCTTGGGAGAAATACAGTTCACACTCCAGATGGCACCCCCTAGAAGCCCTTGTTGACCCAAGCGACAGTCTCCCCTTCCGTTGGATGGAGGCAATTGAAGATCTCTGAAGATCGCAAGTTCCAAAGAGAAGCAATCCTTCCCAAAGGACTTGGGAAATCAGAACCATTCTTCCCACCCAAACCATGGGAACTGATGAAGCAAAAAAGATGGAATCTTTACCAAACTATTTGGGTGGGTCTTGAAAGCCTCTTGGCTCAATTGATTGGGAGACCTGCCCTCTTTCTGCACACTGTGGAAGATCAAGGGGGGAAAAGTTCTAGAAGACATTTACTGATTCTGGCCAAGCTGTATTCCAGGATCAGGGGAGACCACAATGGAAACAGGTGGTTACAGCACTGGGGCTTCCTTCCAATCCAGGCAGCCTTTTCCTCAATTATTTCCATTTATCTTCTCGGAGGAGGGGGGATGAGAGGTTTTCCTTCAGCCAACTTTAACAATAGATATAAATTCTCTTGCAAATGAGACGTGGGTGAAGCGAAGCATGCTACAAACCACGAGATTCCCAGCAAATATCAATCAGAGAACTACATTTAAATTTCATTAGGCCACATGCCTGCGCCGGTTATTAAAGTAATATTTAAGCACCCTGGCTGTGAGGGATACTGAGCATTGGTCTGAACCCCCTTACGGTGGGAGACTTCTGAAAAAGCCAGTTTATTTGATGAATAGCTCCATTAAGAGCTCGTCTTTGGGGAAAAGAAGGGAGCGCTTCTAGTTACAGAATCATCGCTCTTGAGAACTTTCTAAATTCCAAGAGAATCTCTTTAGCTTATGGTTGAACTGTGGAGTTCTTGGTGCTCCCTGAGTTGGGTTGTTTGCTTGTAGACGACTCATGACCCAACTAGGGAACATCATCAGTCCTCACACTGTACTTGGGTATGTTAGAATTTCCTCACCGTATTTCTTAGAGGCATAAACATTGTAAGCAGAAAGGTCCTTACCATCAACAAAGCTCGGGAAAGACGGAACCTTCTTGGTCTGTGTGGGGATATAAAAATAATAAAAAGTGATAGGTCATCTTGAATTTTAATATCATGCCAGACAAGGAAGCTGTTTTTTTCTCTTTCACTCTTTCTCTCTCGCTCTCTCTTTGTTTCTCTCTCGCTCTCGCTCTCCCTCCCTCCCTCTCTTTCTCTTTCTCTTTGTTTCTCTGTCTCCCTCTCCCTCCCTCTCTTCCTCTCTCCCTCCCCTCCCTCCCTCCCTCTCTCTATTTCTCTCTTTGTTTCTATCTCTGTCTCTCTCCCTCCCTCCCTCTATCTTTGTTTTTCTGTCTCTGTGTGTCTCTCCCTCCCCCTCCCCTGCCCCTTTCCCTCTCCCTCCCTCCCTCCCTTTCTCTCTTCGTTTCTCTGTCTCTGTCTCATTTATCTATTTGTTATTAATAGATAACATTACACTTCTGTTTTGATCAATTTAGTTCCCGCTGTGCCCCCCCTCCACCCCCAGCCCCGTGAGTGGTACATCCTACAACTACACACACAAACACAGGCGCAGGTGGACCAACAATATTTTGTGACTTTGGAATAGCACAAAACAGAGAGGAGGAAAAAGAGAGATCTACTTAGATTCCAGGACTTGCCTCTGGCATATTATTGTTGTCGATCGGCCCATTGAGATCACAGCGTTGTTGCTTCCTGGGTTGTTCTAAGCCATTGCATACCTACAAAGGGGGGGGGGAGAGAGGGGGGGGAGAGAGAGAGAGACCATGGCGATCAATAATGTAGGAGGAAGAGAATCAATGCTAACAACATTTATCACTGCCTCTGGTCGGTGAGTTTTATTGCTCCTGCTGTGGAAATAAGAACTGATTTATGCGTTGACTGGTTGGGCAGCACAAGAAAGATTTAAGTTTCCATCAAGCGCTTGGATAGATGGTCATTTCCACTAGTTCTGAATTCCATATTTCCCCATGGATTTGTCGAATGGATGCTGGAGCAGTGACACAGCCCACAATCCTTTGGGAAGGAGCAAATTAAAGTGTGGGTCCCCCAATGTCAAGGAGGGATACACCATGGAGTTACTTTTGCTTGGTAAGGCACACGATCCACGGAGGTCTTTCCCACCTGAGTCATCCATCTCTCTATAAGGCGAGGAGTTGTTTCCTATAACCACTCCTCTTGTGTGAAGGAGGATTTTCAACCATGGTTGTGTGAACACGTCTAGCAGTGCCCCAGAACAATTGCCATCTCTGATGGACCACAGGTAATCTTCAATTTACAACTGCAATCGGGACTTCTGTCGCTGTTGTTAAGTGAGCTTTGCCTGATTTACAATCCTTCCCCCCCTCCCGTGGTCATTAAACGAATCCAGCTTCCCCCATTGACACTGCTTGTTGGAAGGCCCTGGAAGGTTGCAAATGGTGATCTCACAATCATGTCATGAATGCGCCATCGTGCATTTTGATCATGTGAATGCATCAGCCATTAAGTGCAAGACAAGTGCAGTGACTCATAAGTCACTGTTGTCAGCACTATTGTAACTTTGGTCACTAAACGAATGGTTATAAGAGCTGCGGTTATAAGAACCGCGGTGGCGCAGTGGTTAGAGAGCTGCTTTTGCTGACTGCTGGATGCCTGCAATTTGGCAGATTGAATCTCACCAGGCTCAAGGTGGACTTAGCCTTCTGTCCTTCCGAGGTGGGTAAAATGAGGACCCAGATCATTGGGGGCAAGAGGCTGACTCTGTAAACCACTTAGAGAGGGCTGAAAAAGCACTATGAAACGGTATATAAGTCTAAGTGCTATTGCTATTACTATAAGTCAAGGACTGCCCCTTGAGATAACAAGGGGGCACCAATCGTTGGCAGGCCCCAAGTAGAACCCAACCAACCTCTTTCTCTGTCCAGGGTCCTGAAATCTCCCTGGCCTCCTTCCTTTGAGGATCCCTTCAGCACAAAACTGATGGAGTCGATCTCCCCAGTGAGACTCCATTTCTGTACCCTTTCCTGAGAACGATTTTCAAACAGCATTTTTCTCACCCAAAGGTGGGGAGGGGGTAAATTTATGCAGAACATCTAGGTCTTAAAAGATTTGCATTAATTGAAAGCAACACGCTTTCCGCCAAGGCAGAGAGGCAGAATCCTGACACACTTTCTCCAGTTCCTTGATAATGTTTATCCTCGCTTGGGAATAAAATAAAATTTAAAAAAATCTAAGCACCCTGCTCGGTTGTAAGTGCAACATGTACCAGCCTGCATGGAAAACTCCCAATGCAACAGAGGTCATATGTAGAAGACGTCTACCGCACTGCCTGGCAACTGCAAATTACTTCGAGAGCAGGTAGCATTAGATCAAAGAGACAGGGTGACTGCAGAAGGAGGGAATTATTTACAGGATGGAATGACAGCAGATATATTGGTCTTGGGGTGCCCAGCAGCCGAGTTTCTCCCCTTCTTTACCAGCCATGGCAGGTTGGGTTATAATTCATTTGGTGTGCATTTATAGACCAAGTTTAGAAACCGGATTGGATTGAGTTCTATATGAAATTACCGTTTCCCCCCAACTGTAATTTTACAACCTACAGATCCATGGATCACAGAAGTCTGACATTCTTCCCACCCCCCCACTCAATCTGGAGTGTTAACAGATGACTTTGAGATAATTCTGCGATTAACTGGATTCAACTTAATGTGTTGCATAAGTCCAGCCATTTATGGCTTATTCAATAAATTGTGGTTCAATAAATAATGCCTTCACCTTAACTGTGAGCCAAGCCACTGATGTCCCATCATAGCCTTCCTCAAAACAGATAAGACAGAAAGAGAAAGAACAAATACATCATATCAGCTGCTACCAAACTGGCATAATTATAATTAATTAATTGATGGATATATAACTTAAGGCAACAAACATACCCGATTCTCCAGTCTACCCCTGGGAAACTCAACATGTCATACTATTGTAAAAACAAGGCTGATTAATATGTGCAATTTCAAACCGAGTTCTTCTCTCTTTGCTTTTAAAAAATAGGGCAATTTTTCCCTTGCTCTCCACCCCTCTGTTTGCTTTGTATATGGAATGTCACCAAACGATGATTTGCTATTCCAACAAACTATTATGCATTCAGGCTGTTAAATCTCTTGGGACAGACCCCAATGCTGTATTTGGAAACTGGGCAACACGTCCCATTTTTTGAAGGCCCCTTTCAGTTTCCTTGTTATCATTTTTCAATTAATTTCTTTGTAGAGCTATTTTAGAGATGGTGAGACTTCCTTTTTCTGGGGCAAAACATGTATTTATAGCACGGTGGTCTACATATCAAAACAATTGCTGGTAATTCCTCCCTAGATAGCACATTGCACCATAATGTGGAGGAGGAGGAGGAGGAGGAGGAGGAGGAGGAGGAGGAGGAGGAGGAGGAGGAGGAGGAGGAGAAAGAACACCAAGGGGCTGATAGAAGGGTCTCACAGCTACTCCATCATTTTGCCATCCTTGAAGTGCACCTTAGAAAGATCTTGGACTCAATGTTTTGGGGAATAAACTTTCTTACTGCAGATGAAGTGATGGAAAGTCACCAAAGGAGGCTGCATGTTTTCCCCAGCATAGAAGTCCTCCTACTTTCCCTCTCCCCTTAATTCCTTCTTGCAACCTATCGATTCTTCCGCCTCCCAGGAAATCGTGATGAGTCCCAATGATGGACTCAGAGTGGAAATTTTGCCTCTGCTGAGCAGAGTTTCAAGTGCAAACAAAAGACATCCAAATGCAATTACAGCTTTAATAATCATTAGGGAAATTCAGCCTGGCTTCCCATGGATAAATAAAATGAGAATTTGAGGGCGCAGATTTTATCTGGCCCAGCTCAGCTCAGATTGCCTGGAATACAGACGTCTTCCTTGGGAGCTGGAGCTTCTCAACTCAATATGCCTGCCTTCAAAATAAACGGTCCAAAATGGCAGAGTCCTTTCAGCAGTTCCAAGAAGACTCCACCCCCATTTGCACCACTCAGGTGACCCTGAGGACACAGATAAACCTCCAAGCGGCCTCAACGACTCTCTAAACAAGTGCAAATGAGTATAAATCTGTCTGCAAGGAGTATAAGTCCTTCCATTCCTCACCATCCAGTCAGAGCTGAAAAAGCTTCTTGGATGAGAAGCGAAACATCTTCAAAGCAAAACCAGAAAGTCCAGGTACCTCATTCATTTAGCGACCGTTTGAAGTTACAACAGCATAGGAAAAGGTGATTTATGACTGGACATTCAGAGGCATTTCCAGGGTCATGTGATCAGAATTTACGGGCTTGGCAACCATGGTATATTTATGATGGTTGCAGCATCCTGGGGTCAGGTGATCAACATCTGGGACCTTCCCAGACAGCTTCCAACAAGCCAGATAGTGAGGGGTGTGTGTGTGTGTGTGGATTTGCTTAGCAACTGCAGGATTCAATGAACAACATGGCAAAAATAGTTGTAAAATTGGGTGTGATTCACTTAACAGCCACTTTGCTTAGCAACAGGAATTCTGGTCCCAGTAGACGCCATAAATTGAGGTCTACCTATACTTGCAATGCTTTTCTATTTTGTATATGTATATGTATATGTATATGTATATGTATATGTATATGTATATGTATATGTATGTGTATGTGTATGTATATGTATATGTATATGTATATGTATATGTATATGTATATGTCTATGTCTATGTCTATGTCTATGTATATGTATATGTATATGTATATGTATATGTATATGTATATGATGAGAAAAAGAACTTCAAAGGGAACATTTGTAAGTTCCTTAACGGCAGCCTTCTGATTGATTCTAACATTTATATTCCCCAGAGATCTAGAAGGTTTCTCAGCAGTTAAAAGGTAGATTAACTTCTCCTCCCTTTCTCTCTCTCTCTCTCTCTCTCTGTTTTCCAGAAGGACGTCTTTTGTAAGGCAAGAAGAGGAGAAGGCAGAAAGACCCTCGCGGAGGGAGCAGGTTGGTCCTTGACTTACAGCGATAAGTAAGCCCCTAATTTCCACTGTTAAACAAGGCCGCTGTTATATGAGTTTTGCTCTGTTTAAGACCTTTCTTAAGGCCACGTTTTTTAAGCGAATCTGGCTTCCCCCCACTGATTTTGCTTGTCAGAAGCCAACCTGCGAAGGTCGCCAACAGCAATCAATGATGCCAGAACAATTTTATTTATTTATAAAATTTATATTGCCATCTACTCGCACATGGTAACTCAAGGTGGCTTACAGGACCTAAAAGCACGAGACAGAAGAAATAAAAATAAAAATAATAAATAATAAAATTAATAAAATAATAACCTTCCTCCACCCCAGCGACAACACATATGGCGACTTCATAACTATGCGCCACTTGCCAGGCACACTGGGGATTCATCGGAAACACGTGATTAATCCACCCTACCTATTTTACACACCTAACGTGGCAAACCCTTTTGTGTTATCGGTCTTTTGCATTTTAGTATTTAACGACTGGGGGCCTCACAGTTTAAGGATTGATACCGTCGTATAGTTAGGCCATGTGTCACTGACAGATTGGATGCCAAATTGCGATTTTAATATAGATTTTATCTGTTGTTTATTATTTTATTCTAGAATTTTTAACTGGATGTATTCCTGGAGTGTTTCCATATTTGTTCTGGTCTCTGGTCTTTGACTGTAATAAATTTGATTTGATTTGATTTGCCAAGGCCCCGGATTTTGATCACATAATTGTGGGGATGCTGCAACAGTCATAAATCACTTTTCTCAGTGCTGTTGTTAACTCCGAATGGTCACTAAACGAATGGCTGTAAGTCAAGGGCTACCTGTATTATGCCACCAGGCGACCTGAACCCCTTGTCAAAGAAGGAGAATCCCTGACTCACCTGTTCTTGTGGCCAGGTCTGCCTGTCATCTGGAGTCTTGGACTTGGTTTTGAAGCCTCTTGGGGCATCTCCGAGTTGCTTGGAGGCTGGAGGGATGTTCAAGGACTTGGGCCGCCCCAGATGCCGACTGGCCGCGTGTCCAGGCTCTCCCTTGGGACACGTCTCTGCATAGTCATTGAGTACATTTTCAGTCCCATCATGCTCCGGGCTCATTTCCGATGCGCTATTGATGCTGTTCATACTCATACTCATCTTGATCTCCGCCACGATCTGGTCGATGTCTTCTTCCTGCTCTTCCAAGTCCCCCTCTTCGTTCCTGCCATGGTAAGGGGACATCCGGCGGGAGTTGCCGTTGGCTTCCGGGGAGTAGTAACCCCCTTCATCAGGATGGCAATACTGGATGCTCTCATCTTGATCCTGGATTTCTAAACAGGCCACCTCGCTTTCCAAAATCTGGATGCAGCCTTCGTGGTAGCCCACCGCTTCGGCCACGTTGTCCTGGTGCTGAATTTTGGTCTCCACCCATTCTCCTTCCTCAATAGCTTCCTGGCATTCGTCCGTCTCTACGTGATGCTCTTCTTGGGGGACGTATTCTTCCCCGTTGCAGTCCATTCCTTCCAGGTAACTGTCATCCTCCGGACAATATCGAATATAGTAGGTGATTCCTTCTTCCTCCTCTGGAAGTCCTTCATCGTAATCCTCCTCCTCCGAAGTGTTGTTGACATAATCCGAACTAGAGTCCCCATCTGCGCTGTTATCGATATGCTCGGGGTCGACTGGGGGAAAGCTACCTGGACCAACTGTTACCGCGTCCATCACCTTCTCCACATAGTCTTCCCCGGGCAAAGTACTTTTGGCCTTTTCAGCTGCTTGGCCATGAGGAGAAGCAGGGCAGGCTCTTGTCCGGTGATCCAGCATGGTCGCCGTGGTGCTTTGGCATTTCCTGTTTGCCATGGTGGACATCTTAGAGAGTAGTCATTTCTTTGCACTGGCTGTGGGAAAGAGTGAAAGAAAAATGAGAATGACATGAAGAATTGCCCAAAATGAGAGCAATGATGCTACCAGGCAGTGCTAAAATGAAGGATTTCAATTTATCCAGGGTGGTGGGTTGCAATGGGATGGAGGAGAGTCATAGCTAGGTTTCATGACCGATTCCAACAACAAGAACAAGAACATTCGTAGGATGAGCCATCTTTGCTATAGTGAGACGAAGGAATCCAAGCAGTATTGATTAGAAAAAATATACATTGAAATGGCTAAACCTACAAGAAATTATATGCATCTAGGAGCCCCCAAAGCCTTGAGTGAAGTTTCTACTCTCCTCAGAGCCCTTATTTAGATGTTTATGAGGTTTCATCAATGCAGTAAGTTAAAACAGTGAAGACGCTTCCATACAACATGGCCTGCCCTCATAATGAACCTTCTTCTTTGCAGTGCTAGATAATTTGGGGGATCCTCTAAGATGTTCACCCAGTTTGATTTCTCTGGTCTCCAGATCTTTGTGTGAAATTCCTAATCAGCCTGATCATAAAATCAGGCTGATTAGGAAGTCTGGTCGGGGTGGCCCACAAAACATCTGGAGAACGTGAATTTGGGAATGTTTAACTTGAGCTGCTACTCAAATTAACTTCAATTAATGAACTTCAAATTGAAGAGCCCTTACTCAACACACCCAATAAAGAAAAAGAAGTTGGCCGTAACTGAAAGATTAGTCATGCCCTTCCTCCAGAAAATAAGAAGCACATCAAAACGGTAGAGGTTGGAGAGACACCGTTCTATATTTTGAAGGAGAACATCATGAGGGATCTCTTGAGTAGAGAAAACGTGACTTTCTGCTGCATCTTGTCTCACTCACCATATGTCTCCATAAAATTAATGCACACCCTGTTCATGCATTAGAAAGGCGTGAAGATCATAAAAAAAAAGGTGACAAAACAATTATGACTAGAGGGAATAGCATCATTGTAAGCTTAGGTAAGATTCACATTCAATTAAGGTTTCAAAAATCTCACTGATGGGAAACTCAGTCCCAGCGAGCTTGGTGCAGAACCTTCGTATTAAACCAAGCGGTGCCATTTAAGGCAATATTGATTTATCACCATAAATGTGATTAAAAAGGGAAAATAAGCTGAGATTCTTAACAGCAAATACTAATGAGACTCCTACCGTAGTTATTCTCACCAATAATGGCTTGCAAAGCTACCAGACCCTTTAATCTTCTTTAAGTTGACAACTCTTTAAATTTCGCTTTCATTTAGCCCAAGAGGCTTTTAAAAACAAAAACAAAAAATCAGCAAGGGGAAGGTGTCACTCTCAATGAGGCCTAGAAACTTGGTAGAAGAAAGAAAAGCTAACAAATAAGAGAATTAAAGGCTTCTTATTTCATTTTAAGATATGATTCCAAGGTTCTACCTATAAACACATTGCTGGATTATCATTACATTATTTGGATAATATCACAACTATTGTGATCCTAGAAACAATGTTTGTTTATTTATTTAGAAAATGTTATATACCCACCCATCTTAAATACATAACTCTTGGTGGCAAAAAATCCATAGAAAATCCATAGAATTAATGAAAAATATAACCCTTTAAAAATAATTCAATGGAATCAAAAATAATAATTGAGGCTCTTCATAAAAATGAACATTGATAAATTGGGTTTCCTAAAATCCTGGCCTAACATTTGGGGAAAACAGTAATTAGAACTAAGCCTGTCCCTAGATCAGCTTCGCAGGAAGTTGTTTCAGGCATTATGGGAAGCTGAAAAGAGGCAGAAGTGAAGCTTCCCACTTTCCATCATCAAAAAAATATATCATACAATCACTGCCTTGGCTTACCTAATTGCCTCACCCTGAACAATCCTGGATCTTGACCAAGGGAAGTCTAACCATGTGCAAGGAATCTTCTCATTGAGGATCAATTGAGTTGGGTTGAGTTGAGCTGAGTTGTCGGTTTGGTTTGGATTGAGTTGGTTCAGGTTGAGTTGGTTCGGGTTGAGTTGAGTTGAGAAATAACAATCCTTATTATTTCTCTTGGCAAGTGTTTTTTCTCGGCTGCTATATATGTTATTTGTAATTTTGTTCCATGTTTTTTCATCTTGTTTTTAAGCAGTGTTAGCAGCCCAGGGAACATGCATTTGAGATGGGCAGCCATATAAAAGGACTACATAAACAAACAACTAAATATTGCACCATATAGAAATCAGGAGGAAAATGTGAGAGTTTTCCTCACATTCCTCCAAGCTCAGAAGCATCATTTTGCACACCAAGCTCACATCACTTTGCCCAGGGTGAATGCACCAAAATCTATTTGGCATTTGCTGGCCATATGCAAAGGGGTCTCTCCAGATCCATGCTGTGGAGAGAATCGCATCGCCAGAAGAAACAGAGGCCTCTTTCTTTAGTAAGATTTGGAATTATGATTCCAAAAAACGAAAAAAGCTTTTCTCCAATGAGAAAGTGGCAGTGAGACTCTCATTAACTTCCCCCCACCCTCCAAAAATGATAATTGCATGGCAATTAAAAACAGCAATGGCAAGACATATTGATTAGTTATACCTGAAGCATGCATCCAAGAGACCAAAGGAAATCAATGCATAATTTGATTTCTTAATTTCTTTGCAGTCCAATTTAAGGCACAGAAATGAGATGGTCTCATAGGCCTTTGTTTCTTCAGAAGAAGAGACTGCATCATTAGCATGAAAAAAAAAAACCCTCACCACCCCAGAAGTTTCCTCTTTTTTTGCAATTAAAAGAAATGATAATAAAATGAAAGCGTGTGGCACAAAAGCTGGCAAAGACCATGGAGTGGACCTTTTTCCATCCCCCAACCCATCAGATTTTCAACATTCTTCTGCTTTCTCTGGATGGGCATTTGAAGTCTTCCTTTCCCCCCAAAACAATAGAGATGAAAAAATCAGCTTCTCAAAGCAGAGCCGACAACTGAGCACTTCGCCCTTGCTATGGTGTCTCTGCGTTGCCACACCATCACCTGGCTAATTTAATTTGATGGCATTTGCATTTATATTATTTCATCACCGCGCTGGAATCAGAGTGGGCTTTTCGTGCTTCACTCCCGAGCAATGTTTAGAAGATTAGGTTGTACAGAACCAGCAGTCATTACAAGCCAGCAATTATTCCTTCAGTTGTCACTGAAATATAATTGATTCCAACAGCTAGAAACTTCCTCGGTCAGGAGGCAGGAGAGAATGCAAAAATAGGCACCATGTTTGTAGACATTGTGGGAAAATATATGTGGACTTGATGAGTTGGAACCTGCTGAGTAGCCAGTCAAAACTGTCTTCTTCTGGGTAGGAAGCTGAAGTGAGGAAGATTTGGGAGAGATCTCCAAATTCAGAGTAAAGGTATTTTTAAATTTTTAAATTAAATGTATATGCTGCCCATCTCATCGATAAAGACACTCTGGGCAGACAGTAGACCCAGAAAGCATAATGTAACTTATTTCCAACTAGCAGGTCATGTCCATCTATCAACCGTTCTTCTCAAAGAGTTGGGAAAGAAAGAGGCCTTCAGAGACTTTGCCTCACCAAAGAAGAAGCAGAAGATGGCAGGGACTTTTTCATGGATGTGGTATGGAGTCCTTGCATGACTAAGAGTCACAGCAGCCAAAATTCCACGGAGTTTGACTGGTCAAACTGGAGCAGTGAAGGAAGGAAGAGTTGGACATTCCAATGCTCTACCAGAAAGAAGCTTCATGGATCAAACCAAGCCATGCCATATTCTTGGATGGTCTACTCTAGCAGATGCTGAAGATAAATGTGGTGGAGAAACTATCTAAGCCAGGGGTGTCCAACCTTGGCAACTTTAAGACCAGTGGACTTCAACTCCCAGAATTCTGGGTGCTGAAGTCCACAAGTCTCAAAGTTGCTAAGGTCAAACACCCCTGTTCTAAGCTTTGCCATTTTCACTGTCATAAAAACCATAGAAAATTGAAGGAAAGAAATCAGCGGTTGAGGTCTCCTTAACAGGAAATTAATTTCAAGGTAATTTGCCCTTCTTTGATCTCTGAAAAAGCTCTCAATTTTATATTTTTTATCTTCCTCCCCCCCCCCCCGACTTGATGACAAAGGTGACCTTGTTATCTGGATTTTAAAAAAAAAATTGTTCAGACAGACTGAAACCCATCGACATGGAGTGCATACCAATGAGGAAGCAATGTGGATGGATTCCCAGATTCCTTGGCGTTATCGGCTGATCGACTGAGATAACGGCTGAATCAGAAGCCATCCAGAGACAGCAGGAATTAAAACAGCCCCCCCCCCCCCCCGGTATGGCCAAGGTTAGCTGTTGCCCCCTTCCTATTCAGCAGGGGAAGGGCCTATCTGCTCCTTTTCACGTGGCAGATTCCTTCACCCCTCTAAAGATTTTTGCTTTGGTGATTTGGGAAAGAGGGAAGATTTTCTGCTTAAGCCTAAATCGTCAGCCACCCAGATTCCGATGAAAGGAGACAGACGCTCCTTCTGATGGCCAACCTTGCGTTGCGTTGGTCCAACGCACATAAGTAAGATTTTGGAAAAGGTGCAAATCCCTTTGGGTTCTGGAAATGATCGCTGTGCTTCTGGGACCCAATTGCTGTTTTCCATGCTTCCCTGATTCCAGATCCATGAAAGGACAGCTCCCTTCTTCCTAGTGATCTAGTACCAGCTAGTACCAGCTTCTACCAACTTTGGCCAGCTAGTAGAGTGGAAATTTGGAGGTTGCAGACTGCACAGCTTTGGCAGAGGGACAAATATATTGAACCACCTCTGCCCATCTTCAGAAACAACTGGCATGATTGCCAGGATGTGACTTTCCTAGCCAGCTTTCCAACAAGCGAAGTCAAGGGGGCAGGCTGGGATTCGCTAAACGACCATTGGATTCACGTATCCGCTGCCATGATTTGCTTAACAGCCATAGCAGAAAGGGTTGTGAAGTTAGGCGTGTGTCATTTAATAACTGCTTCGCTTAGCAACGGAAACATCGGCCCC